GTGTGAAATATCAATTTCTCAGTCATGATTTTTCTAATGAATTTCCGTACCATATTTGATAGGGTTCAAATATGGTACCACCTATGAGGGCAATTAGAGGTCGCCCCAAAAGCCTCTATCCCTCTCGGAAAGACTGGCAAGCTACCGAGAGTATTCCGCCCGCACGGCAAAGCCTGGCAAGCTATCCGTTGTGTATTCGATATGCCAAAACCAGTAATTACAATGGTCTCATTCACCTGACCCTGAAGGCTTTAACAACATGGCAGCACTGAGAAAGATGAGAAAGGAGAGGCCAATAAAATCTCAAGGCCGAACTAGGCTGCCACAATGAAGGAAGACAAAAATGACCGTCTGTACTTCCAATGCACCTACGCTAGCATCAGATGCATCCATTGAGGACCTGATCGTACAAGCGTGAAAGATCAAGTACGACATCATTGGTCTGACTGAGACAAGAAGGCACCAATCTCATCATGCCGTTTTTGACACTGGAGAAGAATTGATCCTCGGAACATGCGATAAAAGAGGTGTCGGAGGCGTCGGTGTCCTTGTCAACACAAACTTGGCCATGAGCATTGATTCATTCGAATACCTAACAACCCGAATCGGACATTTACATCTGAATAGATGTGGCTCACTGCTGGCAGTTTCTATCTTCGTTGTCTACGCACCAGCATCTCATTATGATGAAAGAGAAATCGAGAAGTTCTATGTGGAGCTGGAGAAGTTCTATAAAGAAGACCACACCTTCTACAAGATCATTGTTGGTGATTTTAATGCCAAGATAGGACTGAGAAGATCAGCTGAAGAACTTCACATCAGGACCCATGGCCTAGAATGGAATGAACAGGGTGAGAGACTGTCTGAGTTCATCATGTCGACCAGGACCATCCATGGTAACTCACAGATCCAGAAGGCTGAATCTAAACACTGGACATGGGAGTCTCCTGGTGGACGATTCCACAACAAAATAGACCACATCATATTCAATCGACGGTTTTGCCTGATCGATGTCGCTGTTGTCCCAAAATTCCAAACGGGATCAGACCACCGTCTCCTTCTTGCAAAATTCTACTTCACAGAACGGGGAGAAAGGGCTGCAAAATTTAAAAGAGAACTCCCAGAACGACCACCAACTGGGAGCTCTTTGGCACTATTGCGGCAATATGGGAAGATGCTATTGTGGACAACATTGACGAGGAATATGATCGACTGGTTCAGCACCTCCATGATTGTGCGAGGAACGCCAAGAGACAGATAGCCACAAAAAAAAAAAAACGCCTGTCTTCGAAAACTCTTGAGCTTATTCGCCAGCGTGGTTTGGCGCATGCCTCAGGCAACCGCAAGCTAACGTCCAAGCTTGCAAAGCAGTGCAGAGATGCGATCAAGGAAGACCTCAAAGAGAAAAGAGCAGAAGTGCTGGTAGAAGCCGGGAAAAGTATTCATAACGCCCACCTGTCCTTCGCCAACTACAAGACCAAGATGACTGCCCTCCGATGTCTTGATGGATCTATCACATCCCCCAGAACGGCAATGGAGAAGATTATCCATGACTTCTACTCACATCTCTTCGATAGCCATGTCCACTTGTTGACATACCAAATTCCACAGGATGAATATGTTGTTCCCAATGTTCTCCCTTCCGAAATCCGACATGCCATTTCATCAGTAAAGAAACAAACAGCACCCGGCCCAGACAAGGTCAGACCTGAACACCTGAAGAACCTGCTGTCAGTACTCATCAATACACTGGCTCGACTCTTCACACGCTACCTGTCTGAATGCAAGGTTCCGTCCCAGTGGAAAACCAGCAGGACCGTACTACTGTTCAAGAAGGGAGACATCCATGACATTGGCAACTATCGCCCGATCTGCCTATTGTCTGTCATCTACAAGTTGTTCACTCAAGTCATCCTAAATAGGATTGGCAGAACACTAGATGAAGGACAACCATGCGAGCAAGCCGGGTTCCGCAAAGGATTCAGTACCATCGACATATCCACATGATAACCAAGGTCATTGAGGTTTCTCGGGAGTTCAAGATGCCGCTCTGTCTAACGTTCATTGATTTAAAGAAGGCCTTTGATTCTGTTGAGACGGAAGCGACCATTGAAGCCCTAGCCAATCAGGGCATTCAAGCCCAATACATCAAGATCCTCCGTGAGCTGTATTGCAGATTCACTACCAGGATCTCACCATTCTACAAAGAAGTGATCGTTGATGTCAAGAGAGGGGTGCAGCAGGGTGATACCATTTCACCAAAACTCTTCAGTGCCACCCTCGAGAACATCATGTGATGACTGGAATGGGAAGGAATGGGAGTGAAGATAGATGGTCGGCAACTACACCACCTCCGCTTTGCTGATGACATTGTTTTAATAACACCAAACATCAGCCAAGCAGCACAAATGCTGGCCGACTTCGACCGTGAGTGTGGAAAGGTAGGACTACAGCTGAATCTTATGAAGACGATGTTTACGAGAAACAGTCTCATTCATGACAGTCCATTCGCTCTCAATGGAACGACCATCTCCAAATGCAACAGCTATGTGTACCTAGGTCGAGAAATCAACATGACAAATGACCTGGCACCCGAGCTGCGCAGGAGGAAGAGAGTGGCTTGGAACGCCTTCAAGAGCATCGAAGAAATAGCTAAGAGGACGAAGAACCTCCGGCTCCGAGCACATCTCTTTGATTCCACTGTTCTTCCTGCATTAACATACGCCTCAGAGATCTGGGCCCTACACAAACAGGATGAGAACGCTATTCAGGTCTCCCAAAGAGGAATTGAAAGAGCTATGCTTGGAATATCACGTTTCACTCAAATAAGAGAAAGAATCCGGAGTTCTGACATCTGTCGGCGGTCAAGAATCAGGGACACTGTCTCATTTGCCAAGGCGTCAAAAATCAGATGGGCTGGTCACGTAATGAGATTTAAAGATGACCGCTGGACTAGAGCTGTTACCGACTGGATTCCATGGGATGTCAAAGGACCGTGCGGTCGCCCACCTGCCAGATGGTCAGACTTCTTCATCAAGATCATGAACGATCGGTTTGAGGCTCTTCATGTTCCTAGAGGGAACAGATGCCATTGGGCTACACTAGCACACGACAGGGACAAATGGAGACGTTACTGGTGCCCGCTCGAGCAAATCGACGATTAACCGGAAGTCAAGTGATCAAGTGATTTTTCTAAATAAAAAAAGCAATTACATTTATTGAATTTAATCAAGTTATTTCTCCCGAATATTGCAACTCCCAGTACAGTCAGTATAAAAATCATTGATGGGATCCTTTACACTTTATATCTCACTTTGAAACATTGAAGTGATGTGTATTTTACACTTATTCCAGGTCTCAATACAGATTTACAGTATTCTGGGTGTTCCAAGCACCACTTTGAAATAATATCCTCCTAGACAGGGGCCTGAGCCTTATTAGGGTGGGAGACAAGATCAGAGATGGTCACTTAAGGCTGCCAAGCAGCTTATTCGGCCCAGGAACTTGCAAATAATTTCTCTCTTTAAAATAAATGTTCATAAAATAGCAGTTGGACCTAAAAATGCTTTTCTAATAACTAAAGGTAAGTAAAGTTTGAAGGTAAGTGAAATTTCAGTAACTTGATGTTATAATTAAGACTGCTTAGATAAGGGGTTAACATTTTCAACCTGGAAAGGTCCTCACAATAATTATTTTAAGAAAACCTTCCATTTTTACAAATGGCCAAGACTCAAAATCATTCAGCTAGGTAATGCTCTTGGGGCCATCTGATTATTCTGGGTTTTTGTTTGTTTGTTTTTGGTTGTGTGTGTGTGTGTGTGTGTGTGTGTGTGTGTATCTGGGCAAATGACAAATTCAAAGAGTAACAAAGAACAGAGATAGCAGTGGAGAGTGGGGAAAAAACATAGAATAGGAATTGAGAGGCCATTTCAAGTTATAAAGCAGTAATGAATGGATCTGAGACTGCTTCAACCTGATCAAGACACTCTTATTGACATTCCATGTGAGGTTTTGTGCTACTGCTGAAAATCTAAGAAAACACAGAAGATTGTTTTTAACCAGAATACCTTAAGGTAAAAAGGTTAGAAAGGATACTGTTTTAAACTAGTAGGAGTGCTGGTTTAGGAGAGAGGACAAAAGCACGTAGAAATCACAGCAGCCACTGAATTCCTGGCACTGAAAGAGGTTTGATGAACTGGCTTGTTTTTCCTGGTGGGTATATAAAATTTTGGGATGGAACCACATTTTCAAAGAAAGATGGAGGTTGAAGCTGTCCAAACTGTCAACTCTTCAGTCAACTCTTCATTATTTGCACTCATGCACTCATGCATGCATGCACACACACACACTCAGACACATACACACAATAACCCTCCTCCTTCCCCAACCCCCCACCCCCCGTACACACACACACCAGCAGTATCTCTTCCAAAATAAGAAAAGGGGAATATTTTATATGATGACTAGAGGGATCATTTTGTCAGATGATTGCACCAAACTATGAACTATCCTGAGCCACCTGCCTGTATTGATTTAAATTCAGCAAGGGCTTATAGTATAAAACGCTCTCTAGGTGGTCTCTGTTGACTCCCACCAAAGAGAAAATCATCCTAATCATCATATCTCGATTCAAAGGTTCATGTGTACTGCCATAATTGGGACTTTGCTAATGTGTACATTCTGAGCAGAAGTCCGAGTCTGTATTTCTGACCAGTTTTCTGTGATGCCGGCATGTTTGTCTAAAGATCCCATATGCAATGTAAGATCTCAGAACATCAGATATTTCTCTGAACAAGGAACTATAAGCATCTCCAGGTATGTTCTCCCATCGCACACTCTTCCTAGCTCTTCAAAGCCACAGTTCCCTTCCATGGGAGCACAGGGTGACCCGGGATTTGAAAAGTAAAGAGGAATAAGACATCACAGGGGCCTGAGCCGCAAATCCTGCCAACCTCCTTTGAGGCTCATTCCTTTTCATCCTCTCCCCTCTCCACCCATAGGTATCTAAGCTGGAAAGAGAGAAGACACAGGAGACCAAGCGGATCCGGGAGCTGGAGCAGCGCAAGCACACAGTCCTGGTGACGGAACTCAAAGCCAAGCTCCATGAGGAGAAGATGAAGGAGCTGCAGGCCGTGAGGGAGAATCTCATTAAACAGCACGAGCAGGAGATGGCAAGGACGGTGAAGGTGCGGGACGGGGAGATCCAGAGGCTCAAGTCAGCCATGTGTGCTCTCCGGGATGGCAGTAGTGACAAAGTAAGGACAGCGCTCACCATTGAGGCCCGGGAGGAGGCCAGGAAACTGTTCGATGCGGAGCGCCTTAAGCTCTTACAGGAAATTTCGGACCTGAAAACTGCCAAGAAGCAGGTGGACGAGGCTCTGAGCAATATGATCCAGGCAGATAAAATCAAGGCGGGGGACCTGCGGAGTGAGCATCAGTCCCACCAGGAAGCCATCTCGAAGATCAAATGGGAGTCGGAGCGGGATATCCGGAGGCTGGTTAGTAACCCACTGGTCAGGTCCTGGCACTCAGAGTTGGCTTGCTAGATTCTTTCTCTTGAGATGCTAATGAACAGTGCTCTCTCCTTTTTTGTCCAGTGCTCTAGCCAAACTACCATACAGGTCCATACATATGTGGATAAATAGCTATTCCCAGCCAACCTTGCAATTGTCAAAGGTGATTTTGAAATCGTCTTTCTCAGAAAAGTTGAATTCCTTCAGCCCCATTCTTAGAGTTATCTATTCAGCAACTCCTATCTTCTTGAGTGTTTATTAAAATATCCTAAAAGTATGAAGACTTCCCAAGTCAGTATATGTGTGGACTTGGTGATTATAAATTGTGGTTGAATTTTCACTGGAGTAAAGTTTCAGTGGCTTTGATGATGTCTGAACAGGGATGGCAGCATTGGAGCCATTCAGAGTGATTCACCGTCATACCTTCCAGGAATGCATCTGAAAGCAACTAATAGAGCTATCAAATCCCTAGTCATTCTTAAAACAGATCGTCTTCCCCACACAAGCAAAGACCATTATAATTTAATGATGAGTCTTGTCTAGTTTGTTTGCAGTTATCAGTTTCCAAAACTTAACTTCCATCCTACAGAGTTGCCTTTTCTTTACGTTTTTTTTTTTTGGTTCTTTTTATTTTCTTTCTGGTTCCTTTTAATACGAATGACCTAAAGCCATAGTGTTCTATTAGATGCTTTAAAATAAATCAAATATGATCATAGTGTGACATTCATCAGTCCTAGGGTAACCTTGTGCAATTAGGATTATTTACACATATCTACTACTTAGAATTTTTAGCATTATGTTTCATCAGATTAACCTGTTAGAATGTGTTCGAAACTACTCTAAATTCATTTTGCCTTGGAGATGACTACACTTTCTCTCTTGTGTATTCCAAATCTAATCAGTTATTTTCCAGGTATTATAATTAATGTTGCTTGGGTGATATCTCCAGGATTTCAATTTTCAGTTAAAAAGTAGTTACTGTAAAGCATTTTTTAAAAGCTGAACATGAGTGATTTTCTTTGTATTGTATAAAGTAACTGCAAAATGTTTTCTTTGCCACAATTTATGAATTCTTTATCTGCAAGTAATTGCACTGCACTCGTTGGCAATAAAGACCAAAGAAGGTGATGTGTGTATATATATGTGTGTGTGTGTATATATATATATGTATATATATGTGTGTGTATGTATGTATGTATATATACATATCTATATACATATACATATGTGCATGTATGTGTGTGTGTGTGTGTGTCAGAGGCACCCTGTTATCAACAAAAATAGCAACAGTGGCTCTTAAAGAATCAGAGCTGTAAACTCAGGAATCAGCAGGTAAGTAAATTAAGAAGAAATTCTACAGAAAAGAATCTTTGTTTGTTGATAGTTTTTCAGTGTAAAATCTAGCAGTATTGGTTGATCACTGGTTGGTCTGTAATATTTTCAATGACTTCCATTCCCACCCCATTGCTGAAATAGACATGAAATCCTCTTGATCACAGTGTAAAATTTAAGCCACCTGAAGAATGCTTTAAAACTTTGACAGAGACCATAGAGATAGTACAGGGGTTGAGGTGCTTGGTTTACATGCATCTGTCTCTGGTTCTAGCCCCAACAACACATATGGTCCCCTGAGCACCATCAGGAGTGAGCCCTGAGTCAGAGGCATCCTTAAGTTCTGAGCACTGCCCGGTGTAACCAAACTACAAAACAAACCCAATGGTTGTAAACAGAGTAACATGGGATACCTTTTTCATAACACAGATGAAATTATTTTCCTTATTTGCTTCTTATCTTATCCCTGTCTTAACCCCCTCCAATATGGGAACTGTTCTATCTAGAAAGTTTTTCCAGGGAATATTTTTATGTATTCTCTTCTCAGAATATTTTTATTATTCAGAAATGAGAGTCCATGCTTATATCCAATATGGATTAGAAATTAATTGACACTAATTAATGGTTATTCCACAGAAAGACGTTTTGAGGTATACTGTGAGTAGATAGATCTTAGCATCACTGTAATACAATTTCCTATAGAATGGAGTCTAGATTCAAAGGCCAAGTGAGAAGTCTAACACTCAGATTTTGCCACTAATTTGACACTTGATTTTGACTAAGATTTTAACTCCTTGGGCCATTGTCTTTTAAATGATGATACTAGAACCTACATAAAAGGACTATTATAAAATAAAGTAAAATAGACAACTGTTAAGTTTGAGTATAATGCCTTAGATATTGTTAAAAAAAAGTTCAGTACATAATAATGATGGTAGTGATGATGAGAATGATTTTTTGGGTAGTAATAGATTTCCAAGCAAGTTCATTAGTTAGGGCACATCAAAGCCAACTGGGAGCATGTAAATATGGAACAATTAAACTATAAATAACACAGATGACAGATATGATGAATGCACTGTTTGGTTAAGAATAACATAGGACATAAGCCTTTTGCAAAGATATGGAAACTAAAAAATAATTCTTATATTTATAGGACAGCTTTGTTTCTACACCAACTTAGTAAATATCAAAGAATTATGCAAAATTTAGTTCATTGCATCTAAAGTTTAATTATGTGACTTAGAGACACTGGGTCAGATTTTCCTATGTTGAGAACATATGATTATGTGAATAATTTTTTCTCAATTTTTGTCTCCAAATAATACAGGATAGAAAGATTTCTATAAAGTGATTTGTTATATAAAAAGTGAGAGGGACATTTTAATAAAGATAACAGTATAGCATTGTCTGTATTAAGTGTTGCTTACTTATCTTGATTGTGAATATTAATATAGAATAAAATGAAAAAAGAAGAAAGTTCTATCCAAAGGAAAGTTCTGTCAGTAACTCTTTGAATGTTACTGATAAATATTTATCACTGTAGCCCTCTTCTAAGCATGGCAAATTTGAAATTTGATCAGTGGTATCAAATGTCTGTGTTCTTGAGTTTAGAAATATTTCTAAGCCATTCCAAGGTTTAACAGATTAATATCAGACCTAATACATGCATACAATAGATACAGGAGAGAAAATACTGAGCAATGTTACCAGGCATTTCCTATGATTTCCTGACAATTGCTGCTAAGGACTGGCTTCTCAGAAATATCAATAAGAATGGAAAGAGCTATAAACTTGGACTATGGGAGGTTTCTGCTCCAAATTCACCATCCAAATGCAAATGTACCTGCCTTGACTAGCCTATTACTTCTGTAATAACAAATTATCTATTCATAGTAAGTTCACCTATTCAAATTCATATTTGACCTGTACTCAAATGTCATTTCCCCAAACAGCATCTAGCACCAAAAATTGCCTTGGGAACACTGCAGAAGAATACTTAGTATTTGGGTTTTTTTTTTGATACTTATCGCCATTTTAAAGATATATATTTTTTAACCTATTAAACATACATTCAATATAAAGAAACAAAGGTTCTACAGAGAATATACTTGAGAGAAAAGTAATTAGCCTTCTTGGCACCTAATTAAATCTAATGGCCTTTTATTGCACATCTTATTCAAGAATTCAAATCACTTAATGACAGTTTTTATCAGTCATCAGAAAGAGACTAAACTTATGCTGATATAAAAAATGCATTTCTTTGAGAGGCAGAAAAATAGTTCAGAGATTAAGGTGCTTGCCTTGTATCCTACCAAACCCAAGTCTAATTCCTGCATCACATATGATTCCCCAAGCCCTACCAGGGCTCACTCCTGAGCAAAAAGCCAGTAATAGCACCTGAACACTGCCAGGTGTGGTCCAAAATTCAAAAGCGAAAAAAAATGTCATTTTTTTTAGAGGCCAGAGACATATGCAGGTAAGACATTTGTCTTACTTGCAGCTAATTTGACTGTTATCCCTGGTACCACATGTGGTCCCCTGAGTACCCAAAAAGCCAGGAATAGCCCTAAGCACCAACAGATAAGGCCTAAAAACAAATAATGATTATTTTATGGCATTGTGAAATAAATTTAACAGTGGGTGTTCTTTAATTCAGATGGATGAAATCAAAGCCAAGGACAGGATCATCTTTTCCCTGGAAAAGGAACTGGAGACCCAAACTGGCTATGTACAGAAACTCCAGCTGCAGAAGGAGGCTTTGGATGAACAACTCTTTCTGGTCAAGGAAGCCGAGTGTAATATGAGCAGTCCAAAACGAGAAATTCCAGGCAGAGCAGGAGATGGCTCTGAGCACTGCAGCAGTCCTGTAAGTCCATTCAGCTTGAAGTTGAGAACTCAGGCATCATCATTTATTTAGCTCCCAACTTGTACTTTGCACTTGAAGCTTTCTTAAAATGTTTACTACAGAAAAATCAATGCTTTTTTCTGCTATAAAACAACCAATGCCTTAGTAATAGCATTTTTAAACTCATAAGCAAGAGTGGTCTTCACTGATAACAGGATGAGTATAGATCTCTGAACCCTCAAAAACTTTTCCAGGTAAGCAATAGCTGTCCAAACTTTTGCCTATAATAGAAATTATAAAAGACAAAAAGACTGGTAAATCCCCCATATGAAAATTGTGTTGGAGATTGGTAAAGACACTTTATCATGTATGGCGGGTGAAAATGTATAGGCATATTAAAGATGAAAGCAACTACAGTCCTAGCCTGAAAGCTTCTAGTCTAAATCTGCCACTTCTTTCATTGATTTTTTTCATTTTATGAGAAATTATTTTCAAAAGTGCAGATAAAAGTCATTGTTTATATGCATAGCTTTCATCTTATACCTTCACCTTATAAATTCATCTTATATCTCATAACTTAAAATTACGTGGCTTTTTAAAAGGTAAAAATATATTATTTAAGAATACAGAAATGTTATTCTGTAGTATTTAGAACTGAGTAATAAATAATTTGTGAATTGATATCAACAGATATCAGCTTTATTTCTTAACTGGACACTGCAGGAGAGTTTAATTGTCTATTAAGAATAGGCAAAAGTCTCCAGAGTTCAAATCCTGGACCTATGTGTTTAAAATTTCCTCATCTGTAAAATAGCAGAAATAAGGGTCCTTCATATGGCTAGGCGAAGGTTACAAGCAGATCACATGAGGACTGGAGAGATAATACAGTGGGTAGGGCACTTGCTTTGCATGTATCACGCTGGGGTTCAATCCCCATATGGTACAGCAACCCCATCAGGAGTGATCCCATAGTACAAAGCTAGGAGTAAGCCCTGAGCACTGCCAGCTGGTGCCCTCCAAAACCATAAACATAAACTTTAAAAAGAATAGATTTATGGAAAATGGTATGCATAATATTTGGACATAGAATTCATTAGCTATTGAGTAATCAGTATTACCCCCAAGACCTTGTCCAAGTTATGACTTCCCTGAACCTTAAAACTTCTACTAAAATGGGGCAAGGGCGATAGTACAGCAGGTAGGGCATTTGCCTTGCATGCAGCCAACCTGGGTTCAATCTCTGGCTCTCCAAATGGTCTCCAAGTACCGCCAGGAGTAATTCCTGAGTGCAGAGCCAGGAGTAACCCTTGAGCATTGCTCGGTGTGACCCAAAAAGAAAAAAGAAACTTCTAGTAAATTGTCTCAAGTGTTGTGAGTCTAGGTATATGATATATGGGAAGCTGGTTTTTTGACAGTATAGCTCAATCAAAATGTAAGATAATAATGAAAATTTTTATCTATGGCAGTAATGACTGTATGGACTTTAGGGCAAAGAATTAAGCCAGCATCTCTATAAAATGATCCAGGGCAATTGTGCCAGTGGAGAAACTATTTTCTCTGAGCAAAATCTATCAACAAAGTCTATTTTATTAACTATTGCCTTTTATAAATGAGGGTAATGCACCAACATCTCAATGATTTATTTCTCCAGGGCACTGCAGAATTGACCAAGCTCATCCCTACTTCCCACTCTATCCTTTCTTTGGCTAAGTGTAATAGCAGGGTAGATAACTAAGCTATTGGAAACAGTGTGCAGCCATGACACAAGGATGCTCCTTGAACTAACTATAATTTTGTCATGATCTTCCTCACAGATCTGATAAACTGATCCAAGTGTCTGCCACTTTCCCTGCTCTAGGAGTCAGAGCTCCAGGGAGTATTTGATACATTACTACATAAAATTTATTTTCAGTGTCCAAATGAATGCCATGTTCAAATGAACGTCTATTTTTTCATGTTTAAATGGAAGTACAGTGTTCACTTCTAGGTGTTCATCCCAGGACACAAAAACATTCGTGCAGAAGGACATATACACACCATTTACTTATTGCAGCACTTAGCACAATATCTGGAATAGGGAATTAAAATGAAGATGAGTGAATAATTAAGGTGTGGCATGTAGACACAGTGGAATATTACACAGCATAAGGAGAGACAATGTAATTTACACTAACTTGATGGTTCTGGATAATATGTTAGTGAACTTAGAAGAAGGACAACAAAGGATGATTTCACTTATCTGTGGTATATAAAATAACAGGATAAGGGAATGCAAGTTAACAAAGTGGGGATACCTACATTACCCTGGACCCTGGTTGTAGAACTGAAAAGGACTGGGAAGGAAAGAAACTGAGGGAGGGGAAATAACAATTGATGGGCAGGAGATATTAGGGGTAGGAGATAGAGCCCAGTGACATATTGGTAGCATTGAGCTGTGGTATGTCAATATATCTGATCCACAGAACCAAAAAAACTGAAAACATGAGATCCAAACTACAACAGGCAGACCTTAAAATGTGCTTGTGAAGGATTAGCGTGTGGGAGGGAAAAGGGTCATTGATGGAGGGAAGCTGACACTGATAATGGGATTGATGTTGGGATATTGTATTCCTAAAACTGAACTATATATAACTTTTTAGATTACAATGCCTTATTAAAACTTTTAATTAAAAAATGTCTTTCCTGTATCAAAAACAAACAAACTGAAATGTTTGGGAACAGAGAGATAGAGTTTGGTGTAACCTGTACCTGGTTACTACAGTTAGAATTCGAGTACTGCAAAAAGTGTCCATCAGGCACCACTAGGAATAATCCCTGAGCATTTCCAGATGTGGCCAAAACAAAGTAAAACAACAAAAAATTATTCCTAAAACTGTGAAAATTGATAATTAAAAAAACTACACAATTTCTATGTATAGGATTTACGAAGAAATCAAAAAAGGATAGCCGAATTGAATGCCACTATACGAAAATTAGAAGACAGAAATACTTTGCTTGGAGATGAACGAAATGAATTGGTGAGTTCTAATGAGAATAAATTTTTCTTCAGAATTATGTTATAGAAGTATATGTAATCTTATACAAATATAGAATAATAGAGAAAAGTACACATGATATTATCATAGGATCACTACCCAGATGAGTAAGTTTCAGTTCCCAGCATTTCAGAGTATTCCCTTTGTGACCTCTGCTAATAACTGGTTTTCTAAAGTTAACTGCTATATCTTCCATCACTCTAGGTGTCTATTGTTGTTTTTAAGACATGTTGTAAATTGAATTAAGCAATAATTAATTTTATGTTTGAGTTATTTGCTCAGCATTACATTTTTGAGAGTTATCCATTGTGGGGAAATGTAGAATTCCTTCACTTTCAAGCTATAGTTTTCAATTGATATACTTCAACACCCAATATGCCAAATACCAGTAGCAATTATGGGTCTCATTCTCCTAACCCTAAAAGATCCTTGAATATGGCACTTTTTAAAATCTCAGGGCAAGGGCGAAGGAGATGTTACTGGGGCCTGCTCGAGGCAATCAACGAACAACAGGATGATCGTGATATATCGTGATCGTGAAACTTCAACACTTTTATTCTTCTATAGCTAAGATTGCTTACATTGTTTATTAGTAGTTTTAAGATGCTGATATTGATGCTACATGTATTTGGCAGATATTATGTGCTCCTCTCTGGTGAGAATATTGCAAGGGAGCAAAGTATAGACTTAGAAAGTATACATATCCTCAGCTCTAATAGTTCTTGCCGAATAGCTTCCTATACTTGTTAATGACAATTTACACCCTCACTAACAGTTTATGAGAGTTTCTAAATATCTTTATCAGCACATAAAATTATTATTTTAGTCATTTTTGCATTTTGAGTTATATTACTTTAAACGTCCTTCTAATGAGTGGACTAATTTTAAATATCTATTCTCATTTTGGATTTTCTATAACATTTGCCCTCTGTATTTTGCCAATTTTCTTTTGTGCTGCCCTTACAATCTTAATGTTAGCATGTTTTATATCATTATTGGACACTTGTATATAAAACTCTCTGTTCTACAACTTATATATCACACTTTTTATGATTTTTTTACATAAATAAGTTACTTTTTTTTACATAAATAAGCTTCTTTATTTCAAATATACTTGTGACACTTCAGGTCATATATGTCTCTCTAAACATGACATTAGCATAATCCCATAAATATTCAAGTGATAATGCATTATTATTTTGTTCATAACCTCTTCAATTATTATCTTATTTCTTCTTGGTTTGGGGTTACTTAGCAGTCTATTGCTGAATATTCAAAACTTAAGAAATTTTTGGTTAACTTTTTTACTTATTTCTAACTTTAATTCTACTATAACCAAAACACATGCTTTATTTTATTTCCTTAAAATTTATTAAGACTTGCTTCATGACTCAATTAAGAATACGACATATTTACAAGAAAAGAAGACACTCTTCAATTATTAGGTGTAGTTTGAATCAAATTTGTTAATACTATAGTTTAAACTTTTCTATGCCGTTACTGATGTTTTGACTACTTGCTATCCCAATAGATCTTGGGGCACATCTGTTTTTAGTTCTATCAGTTTTGCTTTACAGATATTTTAAATTCTATTACTAGATAGTATAAGTTAACATTTGTAATTTTAGATATACATCCCTTTTTATTATAAAATTTTATATCTCTTGTAATACTTCTTAAAGTCTTTGTTTCATATTAGTTAACTGTTCAACTCTGTTAGTGTATTTGTAAAAAAAATACATACAAATATGCATATGTGTATACATATTCGACGTACATTATATTTAAGGTATATATTTTGAAGGAGTCATTGTGTTGAGTACTATAAAGTACAGAATTGTAATTATTTCCCTTTCTTATGTTTTTCTGTATTTTCTATAAATAGCATGTACAAAACACATTTAAATATTTAAAAGATGTCTTTGATCTCCTGAAAAGATAGAAAATTAGGTGCCTGAGTGATAGTACAGTGGGTAGGGTGCTTGCCTTGGACACGGTCGACCTGAGTTTTATCCCCAGCACCTCATATACCATAGCACTGCCAGAAATGATCCCTGAGGGCAGAGCCAGGAGTTAACTCTTGAGTACTGACAACTGTGACCCAAAAAACAAACCTGAAAGAAAGTTTAAAATAGTGAACCTCATGGAAAAATTGTTCTTTTTATGAATTTAGTACTTTTTAATGCTTCAGGCACCAAAGCACAATGCTGAATTTAAGGGGGGTTTTAATCTCATTTAAATTCTAAAGCCAATTTTGGACTTTAATATAACATGCAAATTTTCTAATGGAATTAGGACAGATTTGGAGATTACTGCTCAATGTCCCTTCCACTGACACTTTCCAACATCTTGGATTCTCAAAAAACTGGAGTGTGGAAAAAAAAACCTGGAGTGTGTACATTAAATAATCTTTTCAGATGTGTCTGATTGGGGTGCCTTCTCGGTGCTTTCACCCCAATATATTCTCACATTCAAAGTCAGTGATAGGAGAAGAATGAACTAAACCTAAGAACTTTTACATGGGAATCCATTTGTACTTGGTGAGCATAAAATATGTCATCCAAATAGCACTGTCCTCCCATCGTTCATCGATTTGCTCTAGCGGGCCCAGTAACATCTCCATTTTTTTTTGAGACTTGTTGTTACTGTGTTTGTCATATTGAATACATCATGGGTAGCTTGCCAGGCATCCAAATAAACAAATTTTAAGAATTAAAGGAGATGACTATTTACAGTTACTCCCAAGGTAATATTCATAAACTGATCTGTGGTTTTTAATTAGAAGCAATTTGGTAATATCTGGAGATATTTGAAAATGTCATTGGCATTTCCTAGGCGGAAGTCAGGAATATTGTGCGATATACAACATTCCTCATAATAAGAATAGTTTCTTACAATAGAAAATACCCAGACCTTGGGGCTGGAGTGATAGCGCAGCGGGAAGGGCATTTGCCTTGCACATGCCCGACTCAGGTTCGATTCCCAGCATCCCATATGGCCCCCTGAGCACTTCCAGAAGTAATTACTGAGTGCAGAGCCAGGAGTAACTCCTGTGTATTGACGGTGTGACTCAAAAGGCAAAAAAAAAAAAAAGAAAAAGAAATTGGGGCCAGATATTAAACAGTAGGTAACATTTGTCTTGCAGACAGTCAACCCAGATTTAATCCCCAGCACCATATCTGATCCCCAGGGGCATTGCCAGAAATGATTTCTAAGCATAGAGTCAGGAGTAAGCCCTGACCATAGCTTGGTGTGTCCCCACCAAAAAAAAAAAAAAAGAAGAAAAAATAAAGAAATATGAACTTTCCTTAGATGCATAAGCAAACTAAAGTAAACCCACTTTCCAATATGATGGATAAAAACATGATGATATTCTTTGTTAACTTGGTGAGAATTAAATGACATTTTTTTCTCGCCTTTTGGGTCACACTGGCAATACTCACGGGTTGCTCCTAGCTCTGCACTAAGGAATTACTCCTGGCAGTGCTTGAGGGTCCATTTGGGATGCTGGGGATCAGGGTCGGTCACATGCAAGGCAAATCCCCTACCCACTCTACTACCACTCTTGCCCCTTGTCTTTTTTTTAGTTCTATTTTCTCTTTCATTTTTAATTTTTTAATTGATATTTTTTGATTTACAGTATTGTGAATGATGATTTCCTGTGTATCTGGTTGTCTCAGTAGTGCCTATCGATGATTCAATGAGCTGTTTGTTTCATCTCTTTGAGGCAATAAGAGACCATTGCTGCCCAGGGTGAAGAATAATAAACAGTGTAAGGGTGGGGCTGAGAAAAGCACTATAACTAGGCTAGAAGAGCAAGGAGTGATTGAGTTTCCTGAGCATTTGTCTAAACATAGAATCTCAGCAGGGCTTCCTCTAAGGTACCCTAGGGGAAGGTGAACGTGGTGGAGACTGATGGAAAACCTTTAGAGGAAACTGAAACCCAAGCCTGGTAAATGAAGGCTTGCAATGTCTGTGGTCATCCTCAGACACGTAGTGAAGTTTTCAAAGGTGACCCCATTGTCTTCTTAAACACAGGAGATGAATTCTAACTTATGTCTTCTCAGTTAAAACGCGTGCGGGAAACTGAAAAACAGTGTAAACCTCTTCTGGAAAGAAATAAGTGCCTCGCCAAGAGAAACGATGAACTGATGGTATCTTTACAGCGCATGGAGGAGAAACTAAAAGCCGTCACGAAGGAGAATTTAGAAATGGTGTGTATCCCAGACACGGCAGAACTGTAGCTTCCTCCCTAGTATTATTCCCATAACCTGGCTTATTGTACTTTATCTATTTTTAAATTGCAATGCTATTTACCAGTTTGGGATTTTTCCCTTATGTAAGCAAGGACCCTTTAAGGATGAAAGCAAGAGCAGGTTGCTGGCTCTGAATTTTCTGTGGTTTCTAAATTTGCAGGACTGTAGGAGTGCTTCCAGGAATCTGTACAGTCTCCAAAAGCTCTGAAATAGAGAAGCAGAGTTCCAACATCCCCTCCTCAACCACAGATGCTTCCTTCCAAGAATTTCTCTAATGTAGTCTTTATAAAAATGTACTTGAGGGACCCTTCATTTTCTAAGACTTTTTTGTAGTGGTGGGGAGAAAGACCCCATCATTTATGTTATATATAGATAAGTGACATGTTAATGTGCTCATCAACAGACTTCCTCTTGCCACTGTAATGATCCGCAGACATTCCCCTTGATTTTAAATTATTGCAACGATTAAATGACTTAAGAATTTTAGTCAGAGCTAGATAAATAGTGCAGAGGGTAATGTGCTCATCTCACACATTACTGATCCAGGTTCAATCCCTGATACCCCACATAGAACCCCAAGCACTACCAAAAGTGCTCCCTGAGTGAGGATCCAGAAGTAAGCCCAGAGCACGGCCACGTGTCCCCTTTCTACCCCCCAAAAATGGATTTTAGTCATGTGTATGCATAGTTAAACAAAGCAGCTTTCATAAATTTAGATGGAGCCTCAGAAAGTTTCTAGAAATATTTAAATGACTGAAGTTTGTGATTTTTTATAGCCTATGCTTGTACTTTCTTCTTTTCAAACCCAGAGAGAAAAAATAACATCCCACCCACCCTTGAAGAAATTAAAATCTTTGAATGACCTTGACCAAGCTAATGAAGAACAAGAAACAGAGTTTCTAAAACTTCAGGTCATTGAGCAACAGAACATCATTGATGAACTCACGAGGGTATGTCTTGATCATTGTATAAATTCTAGTGGAGAAGCCTCTAAGGACAGTGTGCACACTTTGCATGGTGAAGGCCCTTGACACCACAAGCTTCCCCGTGGCAGAATCAGGAACAATCCCAAGAATCACTCTGACCCTCCAGTGCCCTTTATTTGGTGGTCCTTTCTCTATTTGAGCTGCCTTTTCCCCCGCTTGGGATGGGAAATATGTGCTGAAGGTAGACTATAGACTGAACATGATGGACACTTGATGCCTGTATTGCAAACCACAACACCCAAAGGGAGAGAGAGAGAGAGAGTAAAAGGGAATGTGCCTGCCACAGAGGCTGGTGGGGAGGGGGGAGGGGGAATCCTGGGAACGTTGGTGATGGAGAATGGGCATTGGTGGAGGGATGAGTACAAGATCATTGTATGACTGAAATGTAAGCACGAAAGTTTGTAAGTCTGTACCTCACGGTGATTCATTAAAAAAAAATCAAGGTGAGAGTAGCCCTTAAGCACCTACGAATGTGACCTCCAAAATAAATAGCTGCATACATAAACTTCACTTCAAAACATTTTCTATTATTAAATTCTTTTTTACCTTTTCAGCGTTAACCATCTTTTCGTTTGGTAGCACAATAAGTACAAAGCACATGAAAATAAACCTTTCAAATTCATTATTAGGTGTATATAGGTTGTATCTTATAATTACTGACTTTCCAGTATTCTGAGATTCAGAGATTTATTCTGCCAACAATAACAAGACCCTGTTCCTCCTCTTTCCCAAAACTTAATTCAGTGTCTCACATCCACATCTAATTAATGAATAGGATCATAGTTAGAGAGCAGCTGAAATGCCAGTCCAGCTTTCTTGACCTTGACTGCAGGGCCTGCTGAAGTACCTAGAACAACTGTGATAATTCTGCGCCTTGAGACCTATTGTTATCAATAAGGGTGGACTTAGATTTCAGATGCTTTGGTGTTTTCCCTTTGGCCTGTCTTTATTCTGTGAATGACTGATCTTGCTTAAGAACAAACTGTAGATATGAAAAGTCTTTCTTTTGTTTTCCAGGACCGAGAAAAGCTCATCCGTAGGAGAAAGCATAGAAGAAGTTCCAAACCAATTAAGGTAAAGACAAAATAGGTTATCAGGTTTCTGACTCACCCAGTCAGACAGGTGAGACTTGCCAAGGAATCTTCCTGCAAAGATGTGATAAATCAGGTGTCCCTGAATTAAAGCAAGCCATGACTATAATCTGCTTGTAGAAAATCTCCTGACATTTCTCAAAAGTCCAGAAATTATTGCATTTGTATATTTTTGTTTGAAAGTGTTTAGTATGACTTTCAGTGTAGAGATGGTTAATGGGTTGTTTATTGCATAAAGGGTTGTCAGAAAAATTGAGGATTGAGGATGCATAAAGGTTGTCTGAAAAAATTGAGGAATTTTCAAGCAAGTAACAAAGATTTTATCTCTCCCACTGACTAGTAGCTTCTCATACCCACCCTGTAATTGATAGTACACTTTTATTTTTAATTCTTATCCACAAATATCCAATATGGTTTATTCCTTACTTGTTTGATTTTTGTTTTTGTTTATTTTAATCAAGGATATAATTTGATTTTGATGTGGAAATAGAGTTTGACAATCTGGAAATTTCTTTTATTTGACTACCATGGATTTTACTTGATACATTTTTAAAACTGTAAAGAGTAAATTGAAAATGTCAAGAGCTTCCAGGGTTTCTAGAAAGAGGTAAAATTAACAAATCTTCCTTTAATGATCAGAACTGGAAAATATAAAAGTACCTAAGTGGAGCTGTTGTGTTCATGTCCTCAGTTTTTATTTTGTCATTGCAGCATGAGTGATCCACTTCTATTTGTTTGCACATTTTCCAGTTGACTATCTCTCACCAATATATCAACTTCCTGACTTTTGGTTGTGTCAGTAAATGTCTACTTTCACTCCATTAGAGGCCTGTTTTGGACCCCTTTATTGGATATGATGAAGACTCCATGGATTCAGAGACATCATCCATGGCCTCATTTAGAACAGACCGAACACCAGCGACTCCTGATGATGATTTGGATGAAGTAAGCTCTTCTAATCTTATTACCACATCTTGCCTTAAATGAGAGAATAAGCATTTTGCTTTTACCTCCTTTTTTGAACAGCACAAAATAATCTCTTAATAGTGGCCAATTTTGAGAGCACACTTAACTTTCTTACCTCCAGGGAAATGCTCCACTTATTCATGTCATCCTCTTAGAAATATCTCTAGACTTCAGCTCCATTTGAAGTTTTCTTTCAAAGTAAAAGCTATTTGTCTCCCTAGTTATTCATCATACTTTTATAGGGAAGGCATGACCAAAGTACAAGCTTTCAGATACAATATAAGATGATGTTTACCAAAGTGTGCTCTTGTACACCACCTTCATAGAAAAAATTTGAGATTAAATTATCATAAAAATTCCTAGACTTTCTCCCCTAGATCTCCTAACTTAAAATCTTGGGTAGACCTCTAAACCTGCCTTTTCCTCCAAAAAAATCTTTGCTCGAGAGGCCCTCCCGTTGATCATCGATTTGCTCGAGCAGGCCCAGTAACGTCTCCATTGTGAGACTTTGTTGTTACTGTGTTTGGCATATCAAATACGTCACGGGGAGCTTGCCAGGCTCTGCCGTGCGGGCGAGATACTCTCGGTAGCTTGCCGGGCTCTCCGAGAGGAGTTATTATATTATGTCTGAAGTTTAAAATCTTAAGCTGCAAAATGTTTTTAAAAATATCTTGGTAAGCAATTGTTGGATATGAATATTGAAACATGAGACTCAAACTTTGAGGGATATTTTGCTCAAATTTGAATCAAAGACCTGGGTAAGGTTTATCTCACCTAGATCAAAACTTGAGTGTAATTCAAGCTTAAATCAGAAATGCATGAATAACTAGATGTTTCTTTCGTTAATAAATATTTCCACAATGTACAGTATTGTGTCCATGCACACCTTTTAAAATTAATCAGGGGCCAGAGAGTTAGTACAGGGGTAAACGCATATGCATTATGTGTGGCCAAACCTAGTTCTATTTCCAGTACCCCGTGGTCGCCTTAACTTTGATGGGTGCAGTCCTGGAGGCCTGAGAACATTGCTGCATATGGTCTGGGTTACCTCCAGCATCAGAGAACTCAAGCAACACTGCAAACTAGGGTTCTTGCCTTAAACTTGCCAGCCCCAGTGGTCCAAGAATTGTGGGAGGAATCCCTGCTTATGGGGCCCACCAAAGAATACAGTCGCACAGAATTTTTTGAAGTACTTTAAGTTTTCTTAAAAGTATTCACATTTAATATTTCATGTTGCATAAAACAACTGAACATAACACAATTATTTTCTTAACCTAAGAGTTTAGCTGCTGAAGAATCTGAGCTACGATTTCGACAGTTAACTAAAGAATACCAGGCCCTCCAAAGAGCATATGCCCTCCTGCAGGAGCAGACTGGAGGCATCATTGATGCAGAAAGGGAAGCCAAGGTCAGTATACATTGACTTGCTAGTGGCAGTCATAGCCAAAGCACTTTGGATGTAGAAATATCAATGGATAGCCTTCCCCAGTGCTTCTCTTCACTGCAGCTTTTGAACCATTTTATCTTTATGTCAACTAATCTAGAATCTAGAGACAGTAGAACCAACTAGATCTATGTTTTGTTCAGTTGAAGATAGTTAAGTACATAGTTCTTATCCTTCGTATTTGAAAATGTGTATCTTCAAAGGTAGGCCATATTAAGATTTTACAATTTGTTTCTTTAAATTCTGTGCTTAGAGGAAAAAATGAGCTGTTCATCTTTCAATAGCATTGGGTAGGCAGTTTCTTAATACATTCACAGTATTACACTTGTCAGCTTATCAAGCTCTTTCACTGACAAAATATCATTTAGTACACATGATAATTCCCTAAGGTAGATATTTTAGAAAAGAGGAATTTAAGAGCTAGAGAGGTTCACAGAGTTGTCTGAGATTATACAGCTAATGGAAAACTGGAATTTCAATTCAAATATTATTAGGTCAGGTATTCTTTCCTGTGTGTCACAGCTGCCTCTTGTAAGCTAATTTCAAAAAGCAAAAATGAAATGCATATAGTGCTGTTGCTTAACTTTTAATGAGTACTTGCTGTGTTCTAGTTATAGCAATGAGCATTTTACACGCAATATTTTTATAATCCTAAAAATCCTGTGATTGTTATGTCAGTAGTAGAAAATGAAAGAGGAAATAGGAACCCAGTACATCTTTGCATAAAGCTAACCTGTGTTAGCTTTAAATCAGAACCCAGTATACCTTCGTTTAAAGCTAATGTTTGTAGCTGAGTTACATTAAAACAGGAGTGTGAACCTAGTCCTTCTAAATTCAGAATGGTATACCTATCTCATAGATTGATTTACATTGGCTAAGAAGTGTGACCGCTCAGTTTTTTTCCCTTGCTTTTTTGTTTAAAGGGTCTATAGTATTCTGAGGAGTGTTGTAGCAACTATTATTGGTCACTTTGTAGAAAAGAATAGATAATAATATTATATCTTTTAAAGACAGAAAATGGGGCCAGGGAGTACAAAGTTAAGAGAGAGTACATGCACCTGGGTTTTCTATCTCTGGCTACATGGCCTCAAATGCATCGTCAGGTGTGACTTTGAGCGTCTCGCAGCCGGTGGGTGCCTGAGCACTGCATCCTCCACCTAGCACTGAACCACCAGTTCAACTGACCAAGTCTTGCGAAGATTAGCATGCATGGGGGTCCCCATGTATTTCCCCCCACAGATAAGTCAGTATATATGTACATATCGGTGAATAAACGTATTTATACAAATCAGTTGTGAGGAACAGGGAGATCCTAAAGTGATCAGAATACCTGGATTGGATCTCCAGGACCACATAGCCTCCTAAGCTTCACCAAATGTATCCCACAAAGGTCCCCAAGTACCACCAGGTCATAAGAAATTCTTTCGTGTTGTACTCACTTGTTGAGCTCTGGAATTTTGATTTTTACCAGGCACAAGAACAACTCCAAGCTGAGGTGCTAAGATATAAAGCCAAAATTGAAGATCTGGAAGCAACCCTGGCTCAAAAGGGGCAGGTAGGCATTTGAGTGCTAGCCCTTCTCCACAAGCAGAAAATTGGATTTGACCTTCCTCTAGCTGGCCCCGTGCATGGGCCTGCATCCAGGACATGGCTTGGCTCACCATAGTGACCTTTCTCAAACTGTCAGAATGTTCAGCTCTATGTTTCTGTCCCTGGTGTTTTTCTGGCCAGAATGTGAACCCAGCTACAGTGCAACAAGTGAGGTCGGGCAAAAGGGAGTGCCCAAAAAAAGAGGAACCTTGTATTATAACCTAGATTTGTCATAAAATTTTAGGACAAAGACCCTACCTCCAGCTGCATTCTTTGCCTCTATGCTACATTTATGGTTCTGCATTTTAATGTTTTCCATCCATATGTATCTGGCCTGTGTGCATTCTGACCCTTTTCACTTTTTGCCTGTGTGGTCACTTCTGAGTCCCCAGAAGGCTGGTCCTGGATTATTCATCCTGGAAAAAGGCAGAGATAGTGAGTGACAATGAAAAGGGGGTTCAATTTTCTTGGCAACTTTGAATAGGGAGCTGGCAAGAATGGGTGGCATCTACCACTCTTTGGCAGACAAACAAACTGGGTGAAAAAGACGACCGCTCTGGCAAAGTAGTGTGACAACACATGCTCTTTCGTGCCCCTCCGAAATGCTGACTGCGCCATATTCTTTGTCAAACAGGATTCACACTGGGTAGAAGATAAGCAACTTTTCATTAAGAGAAACCAGGAGCTTTTAGAAAAGGTATGTTGGTTACAACACCCTAGTGGGGTAGAGGAGAAAATGATGAGAGATCCAGGAGCAGCAGGGGGTCCTCTCAGGAGTGGCACAGGGGCTCGGGGAAGGGTTGGCTTTGCCGGCGCTGTGCTCTCCTCTGCTGCGTGTGCAACTGCATCCCTGTCATTGCCATTACCATCAGTTAAGTGGCACGTGTGCATGGCTCTGCGCTGGGCGTTGTGCCTACTGGGAAGGATGTGATCCCTGAAACCTACTGAGATTTGTTAACTATATATAGTTAACAAATATATATATATTGTATATATCCTATATGTCCTATATATGCATATATATATATAGACACCCACACGTGCACACATCTGTGTGATTGTCCATCTGAAAAACACACTGATTAGTACCTGTCATTTTGTGTAAGGAAGGGGCTCCAAAACTATGCCACAACATGGCATAGACTAAGTTCTTACATGCTTTTTGCTAAGCTTAGCAGTGTGTGTGTGTATACATATATGTATATATATTTTTTTATGAAAGAACTTCTTTAAAAAATGTATCCAAAATGTTATGTACAGGAGACTGTTCAACAAACCAAGATGCAAAAAGTATACTTATGGCTTAATAGATATTATTTATTTTAGTTATCTGGACAAAGACCTTTTGTTTGGTAAAAGAAATATGTTAAAGCTAAAGGTGGCTTTTCCTTTGGTATTTAGCTTCCCCAAATCTAGTGAGGTGGTTCTAAATCATCTTATGTAGCTCTTAACAAGAACTGAACTGGAAAGCATTATAGTTATCTCATTTGTCCAAATGAGATAACCATATAAATTAATGTATTATTATTTCCACCAAGATTGAATAGACTTTATATATCACATAGAGTTGCCTTCAGCAACCTTGGAACATAAGAAAGGGAAGAAGGTATTTGTCCTTTCTCCCTCTGTTTTGGCAAGTTGGAGCATCCTATCTTGCTTTCTGCATAATGAGAGATGATGATGTATAGATGGAAAGGTGTGCTTGAAATGAAAATGGGAACTCACAGAAAGGTCTAGGATTCCTAAAAAACTCCACAAGACATTACTCCTGACCTATATATTGCAGTCTGTGAATCAAACTGTGGTCCATTAGAGACATGGATCTCCAGAAACATCTTCTCGTGGTCCCCCAAATCCAAGATTCTAAGAAGTAGAATCTCTTTTGTGATCCCAGCGAACTTTGAAAATCATTCATTCACTAAACATTAAAAATTCTGAATCGAGGGACAGTGAAACAGCACATGAGTTAAGGCACTTACCCTACATGCAGCCAACTCCACTCAGTCGGCACCATGCATGGTCCCTGAACACTACTAGGAGTAATCCCAGGACAAAGAGCCAAGAATAATCTCTGAGTATGACTGAATGTACCCCCTCCAAAAAAAAGTTGATGACATTAACTGATGTCACATAATATCTCACTATTTTCCCAAGATTTTTTCCTGTTTTATATCATAAAACAATAAGTAAAATAGAATTTTAGTTGTCTCAAAGGAGCACAGAAATAAATGCTATGACATTTTTTTTACCAAATGTTTTTCATTATAATTTTCCTTGCCCTTGATTATTTGGGATAACAGTAGAACCTTTTAGCTGAGATTACTTACTAGAACCCTTCCATTAAAAAGTCACTGAGGCTAGAGAGAGAGTACAGTAGGTAAGGCACTTACTAAATGTTTTAATTGCTTGGGAAAAATAAGGTTAATCTAACCATAAAAAATATTTGATTTTAATTTTAGGATATAAAATAGTGACTGTATGTAAGGTAAACATGTATAGCTAATAGCAAAAGCAATCCGTAATATATTGCAGGTCATAAAGATTTTCTGATCCATGGTAGACATAGACCCTGTATGTAAACAAGATGTGTTTGTACTCAACTGACGTGATTTCCTGCGTCATCAGGTTATGAGTCCCTATAAGAAAGGAGAGATCGTATCGTTGGTAAAGCACTTGCCTTGCATGCTGTTGACCTGGATTCGATCCCCAGCATCTCAGTGATCCCCTGGGTTCACCAGGAGTGATTCCTGAGTGCAGAGCCTAGAGTAACCCCTGAGTATCACCAGGTTTGGCAAAAAAAAAAAAAAGACATAAAGAAAAAAAAGAAAGGGTCTATAAGAGACTGTAAGAAAGCCCAATATGAAAACAAAAGAAAAAGATGTTGCTTCTAAATGGGTAGATCAAAGCAGACTCTTTGGGGAAGAATTATTAATTTGGTATACAAGGAAATGTAGGAATTTCTTACATTGAAAAGAATTGAACAGAGCTATGAACACATACAGTTTTGGGAATTGTCAGTCACAGAGTAAATTGGGGTTTCTAGATTTGTGTATGTACTTGTTTATGTGTATTCACATGGGACTATGTGTAGAGATGATGAATATTATAAATAAAACTGAAAAGTTAGATGGTAATGAGAATATTAGTTGAATTCTGTTTGAAGAGTTTGACTTTATTCTGTACTTAGTTGGAATTCAGTTGTTTTGCTTATAATCAGAGTTGTTGTTAAAGGTTATTTCTCTGAGTCCTTGTAACACTTGAAATAATGGATTGAAAATTTCCCTCAATTTCTCTGTTAAATCCAGTTTAAGACATTGTCTATGAACTGGGCATAATGTATACTCTCAGATTCTCTTCACAAGGCCTCTAGTCTGTGTGTCAATGAATGGAGTTGTTCTTTAGTACTGTTTTTTTATTTGTATTCAATTAAATGACTTTGATTTATGAAGTTATTGATAATTTAATACAATATTCCAATATTAAGCCCACAACTGACATCAACTTCTCTCCACCAGTGTTGCCATGGTCTACCCCTACCCCCTCCTGTCAACTTGTCAGACACATTTCAAAGTTTAGTGGTTGTACTTCAGATCTCATGTTTTCAGTCTTGCTGATGAGTCTGTGCTTTGGATATATAGCTGTACCACTGCCCCACATCACCAGTGTACCCAAGTCCCCTGACTTCTATTTTCTCCATTATTTCCCTTTCTCGTCTTCATTCCCACCTTCATTTCTTTTCCTCTCTGTCCTTCTCCTTCCTATACTCTGGGACCAGAGGTGATCTAGCACTTCTTTTCTGACATAGAATCAATGGATAACTTAGAAGGAAAACCAGGTCTTATTCATATCTACTTAGGTCTTCCTTTTTTCTCCTTCCTTCCTTTCTTCCTTCCTATTTTGTGGTGTAGAACTCTAGCTAATTTATTCGCTGAATGAATGCTATCCATGCTTGCTTTGCAGAATTATAGATGCCTTTTGCACTGGTGACCTAATTTGAGATTTACTTTATTAGATAGAAAAACAGGAGGCAGAAAACCACCGATTACAACAGGAACTACAAGATGCCAGAGACCAGAATGAGCTGCTGGAATTTCGAAACCTAGAACTGGAAGTAAGGACATCATGATGATATTAATAAAAACAATTATAATCATTTACATGCACTGAGCATGCTCTGTGTGTGAGATGCTGGATTCAGAATGTCAGATCCATATTCTCCTTTGAAACTCATAACCAGAATTAAGATATTAGAGATAAATCATCTGAGTAAATTACTTGCCCATGTCCAATAACTAAATGGTATTAAAACATTGATGTAACTCGGTATTGTTTGTTCAGATTCTGTAGTTTTCACTACTATTGTATTCATTTAGAAAACTAATGAATATTATTATTTTAAATAATTTAACTATTATACATTAAACATATTCAGTATTCCATTGCTTTTCATTCTTTCCGTCCTTCACTGAATTCTGACTCATGTGTTGCATACGAAAATGTTTTACGATTAAATTGAATTTTTAAGCAAACTTTCCGTTTCTAATGCATTTGTGCAAAGACTAAACAGAGTTAGCATATTTTAGGAAATACTATGAAATCTGACCAAAATTTTCAAGTAGAATATATCACTTAGATCAGATTTTAATTATATTATGTGGAATCTGGCTTAAAGCATGATTGTATATGTGGGTTTGAAAAGAATGAGAAAAAAACTTAAGTTGACTTCTTTATTATTCAGCCAACAATTTCTTTGGGAGGTTTGGGTGAGTTAGTGTTGCTGTGCTTCATTGAAATGTTGTCATTTTGGTAACCTCCACATCTTCCTCAGAAAGCTTGAGTGGATTGAATATGCCAAATATCACTAGTTGTAATAAAACTTCGTGGTCAAAACTAGATGATTTGTGAAACCTAAAATATAAGTATTTATGACTTAAATTGCAGCAGTATTTCCCACGTTTTGATCATGAAAAATTTGCAAGCCTGAATGACACAATCCATCAATACCTTAGTTGAATGGTCAATTTTTTTCCATTAAATATAAGCACAAAGGACCTGAGAGATAGTGCAGGGACTGACACCTATGTTTTGCATGAAACTTACCACATTACCATCTATTACTGTCACCACATGGTCCTCCAAGCATCTCTAGGTGTGTCCCTGTAAGTTCTCTGACTAAGTGCGGTCTGGATAATTTCTGGCATCATGGGATCTTAGCAGCTCTGTATTCCTGAGTCCAGACCTTAATCCACCTGCCTAATTGGTCAAGAATTGCTGGTAGCACCCCTTATGCAGCACTTGAGAGGCAAAAATAAATAAACATAAACACCTGAAGTTTTATTTTTTCCCCAGTGTCATTGATAAATAGATAATAACACCAGCAAACACAAGTGTTTTATCAGTTGTTGTCTTTTTTGAAACTTCCCACTGATTCTTTACTGTATTTTTAAGGAAAGAGAGAGACGATCTCCTCCATTTAATCTACAAATCCACCCATTCTCAGATGGTGTGAGTGCTCTACAAATATACTGTATGAAAGAAGGTGTCAAGGTAGGTGCATGTTAAACTTTTTTCTTTATAGAAGAATCTGGTTATGATATTTGTTTTTTGTCACTTGAGGTCACTTTGATACAAACTGTAGAAATTATATTTAATTCACACCTGATTTATAGGAAAATCAGCAAAACCTGAAGTACAATGTGAGATAAGTATGAATGATAATAGCAAACAATACAGGAAACTGATTATTTAAAATAAAGTAATATAAAAGAATGATACAGAGCCCATATTGCTACAGATAATTACTTAATTTTTGATAAGAAATATTAAACAAATTCAAGAAACCTATTTAAAATATACCCGATAGAATCTATTTGTTTAGTCCCCTTTTTTTTGTATTCTAGAGGATAAAGAATTCATAATCTTGGAAGTTTGGTATTGGAAGAGATTTGCAATCATCTAGCCCATTATCTCTTCTTTATCACTGAGAAGAGAGTGATCCTTTTCATTCTATTGTCCTGCTATACTGCTATTTGAACTCTATTGATGAGAGGTCTTAAGATTTAAAAGTATATATACGTAGAAGATTGTGACTTTAGGGTCAAGTTCCATCTAAAACCCCTTTCATGGCCTTTAAACTTCTGACCTTCCTTGGGCTACATGAGAATTTTCAAACCAGAGCAGTCCTTTGATTCAGCTCTAATTAAATAGAAAGCACTTTATTTTGTTTTTTCTTAGATGTTTTTTCTCAGACAAGCCACAAACAACCTATGCTAATGTATATTATTTATATTTAAAAGGAATATTTAAAGTTCATCTTCTTTGAAGTGGCTAAAAATAGAGTAATAATAAACTGCTTATCATAAGATTAAATGATGTTAAACACTCAGAAAATGAAAATGCTCTCCGATTTTGTCCATGGCGGTCAAAATCACAACCAGGTTATTGAAAATGGTTGATGTTTTTAAGGTATTTTTATTACCTATTACTTTCCTTTCAAGTTCAAATCTATCATAGTTGAAAAAAATTGATTACCGAAAAAGTGAATAAGCAAGTCAAAGAGTCCTTACTACACCCTAGACTTATATATAATCACTTTATCCTCCAGATCAGCCTATGAAGGAGATATTTATGATTTGCATTTTGCAATTGTTGAAATGGAAAATGAGCTCTCTCATTTTCCTAGACACACAACTTAAAAGACATAATGAAAAGTTAAAACAAAATGGGTCAGAATGAAAACAATTTAAGAAAGAACAGTCCTTAAGATATCTTTTCTAACTTAAGTTTCAAACACTAACAGAGTAGTTTATTACATTGTGTCTTGGGCTTTATTTTGCAGGATGTAAATATTCCGGATCTTATAAAACAGCTTGATATCTTGGGTGATAATGGGGTAAGTATGAATTGGTTAGGTGTAGTGATGATACAAATTTTAATTTAAAAAAAATACTTGCCAATTTATCATGCGCATCTTCATGTAAAGATGTAGCTCCCAGTAGAGAAATGACTGTTAATCAAAACAACTTGGTTTTTAAAGGTTTATAAGGCTCTCTGGAAGAACTCAGTGGCAGAAATGGGAACTTGTAAAGTGCTTTTTATGGGCAGGTTTGAGATGTAAATGTCGTCCACATCTACAGTGATTAAAACTAATTGCCTTTTGACTGTTGCTAGGAGGCATCTGGCATGAAATCAGTCATGCAGTCTCCAATGCTGTTACATAGTGGGATTGGTGTTACTCCCATAGGAATGGATCTGAAAATCTGGAGAGATAATATGTCAAGTAAGCTAATTTCCCTGCAAGCAGTCAACCTGGGTTTGATCCCCAGTACGGTATCTAATACCCCAAGCCAACTCTGTATGATCCTTCAGTGCAGACCAAAAAAAATAAAATAAAATAAAAAAGGACAGGGAAACTGTAATTCCTTTTTTTTTCTCCCTAAGAAACACTCTCCAAGCAGGATCAAGGGATAAAAATTCAGTGGCTGGACCATTCATTGTGATACAGGTAGTCTATAGGAGTCACACCTTTTTTATTTATTTTTTTTTCACTTAAGAGTGAATGAAGGGAACTGAACTATGGCACAGCAGGTAGGGTGTTTGCCTTGCACACGGCCGACCTGGGTTCGACCCCCAGCATCCCATATGGTCCTCCAAGCACCGCCAGGAGTAATTCCTGAGTGCAGAGCCAGGAATAACCCCTGAGCATCGTTGGGTGTGACTCAAAATGCAAAAAAAAAAAAAAAAGAAAAAAGAAAGAAAAAAGCAAACCATCAAATAAGTCACATCAAACTAATGTTAATTGATTATGCTTTATTTTATTTTGGTTTCTGCTTTTCTAAATCTGTGACTATTACTAATATATCCTTATACAGAAACATCAATTCAGGAATATTAATACTAGAAAGTCATATTTATATACCTGTTACAAATTTTGGGTGAATCCTTGAAAACTTATTTAGTCAGCAGGCTAAATTATTTAGCAGTCATGCCATGTGCAGGAGGCTGGGGTTCTATACACAGCACTGCATTGTTCACTAGAGAGGAAAAACAGAATTACTAGTCATGTGAGCTGAAGCAATAGCACAGCAGGTAGGGTGTTTGCCTTGCACGTGGTCAACCCGGGTTCAATTCCTCCATCCCTCTCGGAGAGCCCAGCAATCTACCGAGAGTACCCCGCCCACACAGCAGAGCCTGGCAAGCTCCCCACGGAGTATTCAATATGCCAAAAACAGTAACAACAAGTCTCACAATGGAGACGTTACTGGTGCCAGCTTGAGCAAATCGATGAACAACGGGAGGACAGTGCTTCAGTGCTTCAGTGCTACAGTGCTACTAGTCATAACATTTTGTGAAGGTTCCATGTGTGAACGGGCAGTAATCTGTGCCAGGTAGAAAATATTTTATGGGTTGAAGAGATGGTACAGCAGATAAGACACTTGCCTTGCATGCAGTGATCATGTCACCCCTTGTCACCCCATAAGGTCCCCCGAACACTGCCAGGAGTGATCCCTAAGCTCAGAGCCAGGAATAAGCCCTGAGCACAGTTGGTGTTGTCCCAAACCAAATTAATAAATAAAGATAAAACAAATGCTTTCTGAAGTGTCTTCAGTTTCTTTTTCTTTTTCTTTTTTTTTCTTTTACAGAATTTAAGGAATGAAGAACAAGTGGCCATAATTCAGGCTAGTACTGTGCTGTCCCTGGCAGAAAAGGTAATAATTTAAATATTCAGATCAATTTAGTGTCATCTAACCCCTGATAAGCAGGGTCGGATTTGAGGTTTATTCCCTTCACACATAACTTTGCATCCCTAAATACCTAATAAATATTTTATTTTTAAGCATGGTAAAAATATCCAGGGAGAATGAGACTGCATAAAGAAAATCTATACACTGATTTGGGATGGGTAGATAATTCGTGCTTTTATGTATTTTTAAAACTAGAATAATATAATTCTATAAAATATATCAATATAATTATATATCTGTATGATCTATATAACATATAATTCTATGTAACACTATAATTCTTCACAATTGAAAATGTTGTTTAAAAACAGAAATGGGATCAGAGAAATGGTGGAAGAGTTATATACATAACACACCTTGTTTCCAGCTTACCCAGTAACTTGGAGGGGCTCACTGAAAACTCACTCTGAAAGCTTGGTATGGGAGTGGTCATGTACTCTGGCCCTCTTGTGTCTAAACCTTACAGATGACAAAAAGAGAAGAAAAGAGTTATATGGCTAAATATATTCAGGGTGTCATGAGTATAGAGATAGACAGAAAAGCCATGTGTTCATAGTTTGAATAAAATGAGAACAACATGCTTCTTGAGATGCCTTCATAATCCCCAAATGTATAAAAGGCTTTCTGAAAAAGGAAACCATGGGTAAGCAGTCACTTTCTACAATGTGAAGCAAGGGAATAGTACAGGTCAAAGAACCCAGTTATGTTACTCAAAGCATAAAAACATAAGGAAAAACAATAGGAGGTAGAGTGGGAAACGCTACTATGAAATCAAAGAGCACTTAACACAATCCTCCTTTTGGATCATGAGTCTTGCAAACCTGAAGTGTTGGAAAAAGGACATTTAGCTGACAACTGGAGAAGTTTTAAGATAAAGCAGATGTCCAAATAGAAAAGGAATTAATATTGATTTTGCAAGGTACAAAAATGACTTGGTGATTATGGAAAAAAGACTTGCATTTTAGGACCATAAAGAAGAAATGAAAGAAAAACTTGGTTGCTTTATATTTCTTCAATAGATAAAAGAAACTCTTCCATACTCTGACCTATGTAGGAGTGATGTAACTTTTACTTAGGATGAAGTTCACTTAACACTTACATTGCACTTTTTCTGCCAAGCACTATATATAAATGCCAATCTGCTGGTACCTGTACATCCGTATTTCACACGTGGGGAATCTGAAGCACAGAGCAGAGACACATCTGAAAAAGATGAAGCCAAGATTTATATGTCAGCAGTCTGTACCCAGGGTCAGTGATCTTAACCTAGGTACCAAACTTCCTTTCAAACATCCAATTAAAAACAGGAAATACTCTGCAATGTACATAGAAGCTAATCTGTTAGAGTTGCAGTGAATTGACACCAGCCTTTATTTATCTCCGTTGCAAAACTGGTGTTTGATTCAATAGAGCAGAGTGGGTATAAAATGAGGACTGAGATAAGTAAGACACAAATCTGTCCTTAAAGGACTCATGGTCTGTGCATCTACCTTTTGGAAGATCTTTGTAATTCATAGATCAAAGCCTTCCTTTGGGATTCACAGATAAATGTTTCTACCTCCAAGTAATTCTAAATGTCAAACTTGAATGTTCTGAGATTAGTGATTTGAATAACAGTCTACTATAAAGAGAAATATCTTTACTCTAAGGCTGGGCCTCAACAGGTTTCCAACATGTGACATAGCATTCAAATAATAGCTTTGCCTTATATAAAATAGTATGGGCCTGTACTACACTTACTACTGTGAGTGCTTTATCTTATTGCCCCTTCTAACCATCCTATTTCCGTCCTGTGATTTCACTTTCACAGATGAGAAAACTGAGGCAAGGGATATTCATTAACTAGTTTTGATCATGGAAGTGAAAAGGGAAAAACACATAAATCTATCTAAAGCCTATGACTAACCTATTTTAATTCACAGTGCTTTTAAAACATTATTTTGAGCTGCCGTATGGCCCAGCAATTCCACTTTTGAGTATATACACCCAGGATAAAAATGCATTCTCTCAAAAGGATATATGTACATATTATTCATTGCTGCCTTTGGTCCTATTCATTGCTCCTCTTAGTTCAATAACTAAAATATGGACTTATAGGTGACTAACAACAGATGAATGAATTATGAAGATGTAGCTTGTATACACAATGGAATACTATGTAGCTGCAAGCATTGATAATTCATGCAATTTGCTACAAACTGGTTGAAACTGGAAGATATCATTTTGAGTGAAGTAAGCCAGAAGAAGAAATGCAAACACAGGATAATCTCACTTTTCTATCTATATAGAATTACTGCACAAGGAAATGTAATAATTGGGGGTAGGGGGTGCCTAGATCACCCTCACCCTTGACCCCAGACTACAGCGAGAAGGACAGAGAAGGAAATAAATCAAGGGTGGAGGGAAGAAGAAGATGAGAAAGGGAAATAATGGGGGAACAGGGGTTGAGGCCTTAGTTATACCAGTAATGTGGGAGAGTGATATAGCCATATATCCCAAACTCAGACTCAACAACACTGAAAATATGAGATCTAAAATGTAACCAGTGAAATTTGTAATGAATGTGACTGTAAAGGTGACAGCATGGGGTGAGGAAGGGGAGGGATGGAGCATGGGAACACTGATGGAGGGCAGCTGCCATTGGTGACAGGATTGGGGTTGAAATACTAAATGCCTAAATCTCAACTATCAATAACTTTATAAATCACAGTTCTTCAAATAATTTTTTAAAAAGCATGATTTATGGGGACAGGAAGGATTGTACAGTGGATAAAAGGCCCCTGCCTTGCATGCGGCCAACCTGGTTCAGTGCCCAACTCCCCATATGGTCCTCTGAGCCTGCTGAAACTAATCCCTGAGTGTAGAACCAGGAGTAAACTTTGAGTATAGTCAAGTGTGGCCCCCAAACTAAACAAATCCAAATAAAATATTATTTATGATTTTAAAAAAAATTTCTCAAGGGCTGGAGCGATAGCACAGTAGGTGGGGCGTTTGCCTTGCATCCGGTCAACCCGGGTTTGATTCCTCCATCCCTCTTGGAGAGCCTGGCAAGCTACCGAGAGTACCCTGCCCGCATAGCAAAGCCTGACAAGCTCCCCGTGGTGAATGTGATATGCCAAAAACAGTAACAAGTCTCACAATGGAGATTTTACTGGAGCCCACTCAAGCAAATTGATGAACAACAGGACAGTGCTGCAGTGCTGCAGTGTCCTATATAAGGACATATAGGCAGCAAGCAAGAAAAAAGAATGGATTTAAAGCTAAGTCATATGCAAAGGCTGTTTTCTCTATTTTCTCTTTCTCTCTCTTTCTCTCTCTCTATACACACACACACACACATATTGTGACTAAAGAAATAGTACAGTGCGTAAGGTATTTGCCCCTGAAATGTAGCTGATCCCTGGCACCATATACAGTCCAAGCATCACCAAGAGTAATCCCAGAACACAGAGCCAAGAGTGAGCACTGAGCACTTCAAGTTGTGGCCCAAAACAAAAGGAACCCCCCCAAAAAAAAACAAAAAAATGACTTTTGATTGAAATCTGTTTCAAGGGGGAAGAAAAGGATGTAAAAGTGCTGAGCACTTAGTACCTCTTCAGTTTCCTGTACTATTTTCTTGCCCATCTTCTTTATAGCCAACACACAGTTGGAAACGGTGTCCCCTTGTGAATACCTAATGTACAAAATATTGTCCACATAACTTATTATATTAGTAGTATGACATAACCATTTAAAATAAATGTTAGACATTATAATTTAATCAGTATTATACTATAGACCAGAACTGGAGCAATAGCACAGTGGTAGGGCGTTTGCCTTGTGCACAGCCAGCCAGGCCAAGTCATGTTCTATTCCTCCGCCCCTCTCGGAGAGCCCGGCAAGCTACCGAGAGTATCTCGCCCACGAGGCAAAGCCTGGCAAGCTACCTGCGACGTATTCAATATGCCAAACACAGTAACAACAAGTCTCCAAAAATAGAGACATTACTGGGCCCGCTCGAGCAAATTGATGAACAATGGGAGGACTCTGTGTGTGTGTGTGTGTGTGTGTGTGTGTGTGTGTGTGTGTGTGATACTATAGACGAGGCCTTATGTATATCATAACCTTTAATCTTCACATTAGTAATAATCCCATTTTATAGGTAAGAAGTGAGGTTTAGAGAAATTATGTAACCTATGTAAAACAAAAAAAAATAGAATGTGATTAGGACCAAAGTTGTGTGCCTTCATAACCCACAATTCACTTATTATGCCAGTTACAATCTCAGCAGACTGATATTTAACTTGGTGGAAACTGTTTATAATTTATTCTATTAAGCTATATGAGCTAGGTTCAAACTATAGTATTAAACGTTTAAATTGATTGAGAGTGTTGATCAAAGCTGACATTAATTCCATATAACAAAATATACTCTGAGTGTAAGGAGAAATAAATTACATTATATAATTTCAAGTGTCAAAAATTACTCTTTACTACTTACCTGTAATTTCATAAACAAAAAAAAATGCCTTTTCTCCAATTTCACCTGGCCTTCTTTCATTTTTATATTCTAGCCATAGAAAATTGGGTTTCTTCTGGGAACTTGCTCTTAATTTTTGCCTAACCATCTCTGACTTGATTTTCCATTTCCAGACTAATATTCTTTTCTAAGAATGCCTCTTATGGGATTCTGCCATGAAAGTTAAAAAGTTTGCCTAAATTCACCGTATAGCTTTAAGTACCCAGCACATGGTTTGATTCATGGTGGATGTCAATGAATGCATTTGCTGACTGAATACAAAGACTGGGGGAAGAAAATAAAAACTAAAATCTAGCTTCTGAACTTAGTGATAAACTATATCAAATGTTAACTTCACTCTTCAGTCTGATTCCTAAAATATGAGGGCAAGAGACTATGCAAAAGAGCAAGTAACTAGAAATATCCTAACAAGTAACAAATATCCTAACATCCTAACAAGTAATCATGACAAATACTTTTCTTCTTCTTTTCTTTTTAGTGGATCCAGCAAATTGAAGGAGCAGAGGCTGCCTTGCACCAGAAAATGATCGAACTGGAAAGTGATATGGTGAGTACAACTATGCAGAATCAGAAAAATAAGATAAACTGACAAGACAAATGGAAAATAACTGCCCTCTACCAGTTTTATTTGGCACTGATGAAAGTTTATAGCCTCACTATTGGGCTGGAGCGATAGCACAGAGGTAGGGCGATTGCCTTGCACGCAGCCAACATGGCCGACCCGAGTTCGATTCCTCCGCCCCTCTCGGAGAGCCCGGCAAGCTACCGAGAGTATCTCACCCGCACGGCAGAGCCTGGCAAGCTCCCCGTGACGTATTCGATATGCCAGACACAGTAACAACGAAGTCTCCAATGGAGACGTTCCTGGGCCCGCTCGAGCAAATCGATGATCAACAGGAGGGCCTTTACCTTTTTTACCTTATTGTGTACAGACTATGGACTTTCCCAGAAGTGCCCAACAATTTCAAACAAGTTATATACTACAGAAAAACAAAGTAAAAATTGATATTATCTGGACAGTATTTCCCATCCTAAGGTTGGAGTGAGGTGTTTCTTTTCTGATTCTAAGAAACAAATTGCCCTTATAAAGGTATAGGGAAAAAAACTATAGAAATGGGGGATGTGAGTGATTTTTAGAATCACATTCTAAATCTAAATCACATTCACTAGAATGGCTTCTATCAAATAAATAGAAAATAGTAAATTTTGATGAAGATGTAGAGAAATTTGTAGGGAAATTTGAATCCTTATGGATGGTTGGCTGGAAAGCAAACTGATGCACAACTGTTTAAAGAAAATGATGAGGTGGTTTATCAGGAAAAAAGCAAGTTAAATTTACAAAAATACCAAAATAATTTCAAATTCTTGGTATATATTCATAAACAATTGAAAACAAAGGCTCCAAGAAATGTTAGTTTATTTCTTGTATAATTCAAAGAAGAATTAAATTCAACAGTTAAATATAGAAGCCACACGAGTGTCTATCAGCAGATTCATGGGTGAACAAAATGGTATGTATGTCAATAAAATATTATTTTCACCTTGAAAAAAGGCAGACAATTTTGACACATGATAAAACATCACTGAACCTTGAGGACGTTATGATGAGCAGTAAGTCATAAAAGGACAACTACTGCATGACTGTACTTATATAGATGGTCTAGAATAGTTATGGTGTATGTCATTATCTTTTATGCTTTTTTTGCCTTGTTGTTTTACACAATCCCTGTGTGAAACTTAAAGTTGAATTGCTTTTCTAACAGAATAAATCTATCTTATGAAAGTGGTAGAATTAGTGATAAGATAATAATTAAATAAATAATTACTTATTTAATTAGGCTTATCTACAAATATGGTTCATTTTATAGGAGCAGTTCTGCAAAATAAAAGGCTACCTAGAAGAAGAACTAGACTACAGAAAACAGGCTCTCGATCAAGCATATATGGTAAGTTCATCAAGCAGATAAGGTTCCGAGAGTGTTTACAACTGTATACTGTGGCGTTACAATTATATGCAACATGTCATACATTGACGTGAATAGATCACACATATAGCTCTTTTAGTGAATTGTTTCCGTTCTAATTTTAGACTAAATATTTCCCTTACTTGCTGCTGTACTAATATTGTATTCAATAAATAATCATATTTTGCTTTAACATTCAAATGTGTGTTATTAAAAACTTAAGAAGTTTAAGTAGGAGTATACATTAAGAAATTCTTTTAAACTGAATCCAGTTGTTTATCTAAGAGATGTACCTAATAGTAGAAGGTATCTAATGAATGTTATCTTTATTTTAATTCACATCTTTCTCACAAGCTTATGAGGAATTAGTACTAATATTTCTGTAGTACATATGAGGAGATGAAGGCTACTAGAGTGAAATAACTCTACTCAAGTGAGCAGCTTCTGACCTGGATCCTGACACTGTGGGCCTTTACCACCCTATTTGGAATGTGCCTTTCCCTCTCCCATAGAGTATACAGAAGAGGGGACATCTGATTGTACCAGATTCATAATTCATAATTCCTAAGACTTGATAGAGCTTGCATTTCTTTTCATATATGTCCATATTCATTCCTTTTGGACAATCCAATAAATTCTTGGTAATGGAGAGAGAGAGAGAATGAGAGAGAAAGAGAGAGAGAGAGAAAATGAGAGAGAGAAAGAGAGAGAGAGAAAGAGAGAGAGAGAAGCTTAAAATAGGATAAAAAATTGCAAGCCTTGTGCCGGAAGAGATAGTACAGGAGTTAAGGTGCTTGACTTGTGCTTAGCTAACTCTGGTTAGATGCCTAGTACCACATACCATCTACCCAGCAATGCCAGAAGTAATCCTCAAGCACAGAGCCAAAAGTAAGCCCTGAGCACAGTTGAGTTTTGCCCAACACACTCCCTGAATAAAGTAAAAATTGCCACCCTTATGTTACCCTAGTAAACCTGGAAGCCATTAATCAGCTAGTGTCCACCCTTTAGACCAAGAAGCAGAAGATGCAAATCTGTAGAAAAGAAAGTATGAAGCAAATATGCAGAATGTAGAAAATTGAAATGTAGAAAGAGAGATCAGTTGACACTCTAGTAAGGTTTTAATAATACTTTTCTAAATGCAGATTAAATCCATTTTGAAAGATGGGCAGAGCACTTAGCCCCTACTTCTTACAAAGATAAATTGGTGTTAACTCAAAATGGATAATATTATGAGCCTGACTTGATGGGTAAAAAAAAAGAATTAGAGTGGGGATGATTAGAAAGCAAAGAAGAGAATTATTTCCCCCCTCCCTTCCTATCCTTTAACAATGCCTCCTCTATTATACAAAAGACTAGATCTATTTATCTGCCCCATGACACATAAACTGCTTTTAACTTTTAGAAGACAAAATCTGCTCTCGAGAGATAAGACACTTGCCTTGCGGGGCTGGATCGATAGCACAGCGGGTAGGGCATTTGCCTTGCACGCGGCTGACCCAGGTTCAATTCCCAGCATCCCATATGGTCCCCCAAGCACCACCAGAGGTAATTCCTGAATGCAAAGCCAGGAGTAACCCCTGTGCACTTGTCTTGCATACAGCCATTCCACGTTTGATCCCCAGCACCACATAGGTTTCCCTGGTTCTCATAGTAGTGACCCCTTAATCACTGAGTCGGAAGTAAGCCCTGCAGCTTACTTGCAGCTAAGAATGGCCCACAAAAACAAAAATAAATAAATACATAAATAATAAAATCAAAGACAAGATCTGGTTAGTACAGGACAAGAGCCTATTAAAAAACTATCCCTTACCTGGGCACCTCCACTTACCTCTAGTGAAAATTTGGGCAATTGTGTCTGAAACATGATTTTAAAAAATAAATAAAACAGGATACAAGAAGCAGTAGATTATTTAACACAGAAGACACAACTAGAATCTTCTACTGTAGCTGAAACAACTGTAAATCATGAAGTATACAAAAAATTCAAAGGTTCTAGGACACCCTTAGGTATTTACTTTCCAATTTTTATTTTTAGGGGAAAAGGTTTTAAAAAGAAACACCTTATAGTACAAGGGCATCTCCAAGAACAGAGGTGTGCAGGGTGGAACAGAAGTGTCACATTGTGCATGAAATATATCTCTAATTTCAAGTATGTTATTCAGATGCAAAGCACTTTTCAAATACTTATTTCTAAAATTATGGTCCCCTTGATAGATGTCATTAAATATTTGAAGTGCTGTCAAATGGGAGAGAATAAAGTTATTCTCAGCTACCTCTGAGAATGGAAGTATGTATTTAACAAAGAACTTTCTGAAAATGAACAGTGAAAAAGGACAAGATTCCCAGAAAGAAATTCTTTGTCAGAGAAGTAAAAGTATTGATTGAGTGGCCTTTACTGAAATTCGTCAAAAGAATTACCGAAAGGATAATCAGGCTGTATGAGTGTACAGTTCATTTCACTGCTCATGATCCTGTCTGACTGAAACCGCTTATCCTTTCCCATCTTCCCACGTGTGTGTATTCACACTCTACCCAGAAATGCCAGATTCCAAAGTTGGACTTTTCTGTCTCTAATTGCCAGAGAATCCAGGAGCTAGAAGCTACTCTGTACAATGCTCTGCAGCAAGAAACTGTTATCAAGTTTGGTGAATTACTAAGTGAAAAACAGCAAGAGGAGCTGCGAACAGCAGTAGAAAAGTTGCGGCGGCAGATGCTGAGGAAGAGCAGGGAGTATGACTGCCAGATTCTGCAGGAGAGAATGGAGCTCTTACAGCAGGCGCACCAGGTGAGGACTGAGCCTGGTGTCTGTGCGGCATGACTGCTGAGCAAAAGGGATTTAGAGCCCAGTAGACAGTATGGGGTCTGAGCATGGAGAAACCCAGGACCTATAAGCTGTTCTAAGCGTGTCAAAATAGTAACTGTGAGAGAGTTTTATAATCATTCAGTCTGGAGAAATTGCCATTTCAGGCACATTGGGTGCTATTATTTTACAACTATTATGCCATTACTTTGACTATACATGTACTTTGACTATAGTATGCCAGAAGCATGTTTTTTAAGTAGGAAAATGCAAAGTTTAATAACATAAATGTTCCCTAAATATAAGCCTTCTAGGAGTGACCCCTGAGTACAAAGCCAGGAGGAAGCCCTGTGCACTATCAGTTGTGACCCAAACACAAAACAAAACCAAAAAGCAAGGCTACTTGTTACATTTTCATTATGGTTTTTTTTTCTTAATTTATCATTTCTTTGACATTTTTGGTTAAGTGCTCTCGCTCCTATTTTATTGAGGATCTTGTTTTGTTAATTGAAATAAATTTGGTTATAAGAGACTTTACCAAAACACGAGCGCGCGCGCAAACACACACACACACACACACACAGAGAAATTGTTAACATTTGTGTAAGTCATACATAGTCATTTTTCTGTGAAATAAACAAAAGTGTTGATTCAGTGATTCACAACATAGTTTGTATCTCGTGTACTAGTTCCTAGAACATTGCTAGTTACTTTGCCACATTTACCACAATTGACTTTCCACTACCCAAAACATATTTTATGGCCAAGCTCAAAAACAATGAGACAATAACTACAGCTTGTTCACAGGATAGGATTCTATGATAGGTCCAGTAGACTGGATAACAGATTCTTCAAAAAGATCAAATAAAGTCAATTGTATCCCTAATATGTATTAATGTAAATGTTATATAAAATGTAACCAAAAACAGGAAAACTGTTCAAAGGTCCTAAAAAAAAGGAAGAAAGAAAGAAAGAAAGAAAGAAAGAAAGAAAGGAAGGAAGGAAGGAAGGAATGGGCCAGAGAGATGAAAATAAGTAAACAAATACTGTGGTGATGATTTTACAGTACAAGTGAAAAGAATACTACTTTGGGGGGTTGGAGCAATAGCACAGTGGGTAGGGTGTTTGCCTTGCACGCGGCCAACCCAGGTTCAATTCCCAGCATCCCATATGGTCCCCTGAGCACCTCCAGGAGTAATTCTTGAGTGCAGAGCCAGTAGTAACCCTTGTGCATCGCCAGGTGTGACTCAAAAAGAAAAAAATACTATTTTTGCAAGATGCAACATTCATCTACATTCAGAAAAATATACATGTGTTCTTTCTAGCTGCTATCACTAACCATTTGTCTTCATAGGACAATTCTGATTTTACTTGATGTGCAACCTGTTTAGCTTAAGGTCCACTAAAGTTTTATTTTCTTTTCTCAGAGAATTCGTGATTTAGAAGATAAAACAGATATACAGAAAAGACAGATAAAAGACTTAGAAGAAAAGGTACGTGTTGAATTCTTTATTTTAGTCTTTGTATTTTAATCATAAAATAGTATCTATTTCACTCACTCTGTTTCCTTCCTTTTCATTTCTTGTGTATCTTCTGTAGGGGATGTAGTTAGTTCCATTAAATGTAGACCCCCCACTTCAGTCAAACACCAGCTTTCCAGCAAACATTCTGCCAGCAAAAACCTCACCTTGACATATTTGTCCTTTGTGTTGATTCTTAATTCTTCTCAATAATTGTTCTCTTTTTTCAGTTTTCCCTTCCTCACCTTCACTTCATTTTCAAAATTTCCTTCCAAAATTTATTACCATGACCCCTCTTTCAAAGTTTTTTTGGCACCTTTTAAGATAAAAAAAAAATTTCCCTATTATTAATTTAAAATCCTTTCTTCCTTGAGTTGCATTTTCATCTCTGTAGTAAATTCAGTAATTGAGATAAACGCAGGTCAATTAGCCAATTTTCTCATGTCACTTCCCCAGTGATCTGAAGGAACAACTGCTTTTTCTACTTAAGTTTTAAAAAAAAAAAGTGCAACTCTCAAAGAAAGAATTTGAAATGTGCATAAGAGACAGTGCACAAGCAGGGAGGTAGCCTTGCACATCAACTGTCATGCAGGTTGAGGGACATAGAAAGAATGGCAAGAGATTTTCTCTGTAATTTCAATCTTACTAGAAATGCCTTGGTCTCTGTTTCGTAAGAGGACCTGGTTGTCTTTCAGTAAATTCCACAGAAGAGCCAGGAGATAGTACAGAGGTTAAGGTGCTTTCCTGGCATGAGGCCAACCCAGGTTTGATCCCAGCACCATCTATGGTCTCTTGAGCCCACCAAGAGTAATCCATGAGCACAGAGTCAGGAGTAAACCCTGAATGCTTCCAGGTGTGGCTAAAAACAAACAAACAAATAAAAATCAAACCAGGGTGTTCCTCAAACACTGGAAAGAAAATGGTATTCTTGTCACTTCTGATATAATAATTAAAATTTGGTTCATCCCAAATTGCTTCTCATTCATGTATGTGAGATCTCTGATAGCCAGTCCATAAGCTATCTAGATCATTATTCTGGTAGATTCTTTGGCTACTCTTTTGACCTTGGGTAAGTAACTAACACCCTGATCTGTGCATGTATATGTGAGCTAGAGATGACAGCATTTGACCTCAGGTCCTGTCGTGTTTCCCATGAAAAACAAATGAGAGTTACTTTTATGAAAGTCTGGAAATACTAAGAAAATCTTAGTCAAATGAAAGTGAATTTTTATTTAAATAGCCACATAGAAAATATGCATCTACAAAATTTTAAATTTGAACTGTCATTATTTCAAGTGTGCCACAATTTCCCTGGTTACCAAAAGGTACACACATCTGTCTCCTCACATAACAAGAATTTTCATTTTGCACAATTTGTAATGGCAGATATTTGGCTTTTAGTTATTGTTAATTCTTGAACAGTCATAGGGTTTGTTGAAAGACAGGATCAGTATTAAGACCATTCTAGTTCAGAAACTAGTTCAATCCCAAATAAGCAAGAAAAACAAAAATAAATAAATACCTGATGGGGCCAGAGAAATAGTATAGCTGGTAGGGCATTTGCCTTGCATGTGACCAATCCAAGTTTGATCTCCAGCATTCCATATGGTTGCTCAAAAACTGCCAGGAGTGATTCCTGAGTGTCATAATCCCTGAGTAACCCCTGAGCATCATTGGGTGTGACCCAAATAAATAAATACCTATTAATTGCCACTTTAATTATGGGCTTAGTAGACCTCATGAAAATTTTAGAATCAGAGGATCAAGATGATGTTCACTGTGAGAATTAATTCACTTCAGGGTCTGAGTATCCTAAACATTTATGAAAATGCTATAATGTCCCTCGAAAATGAGGAGTCTGGAGCTACCAAAGGAGAATATTCTGCATATAGTAGTGAATTATACCACTTCAAATAACAACCCCATTGATTCCTGATTAATTATTTAAATAAGAAGTTATATCTATAGCACACCTTCTATTCACTTGACCTAAATTCCACTTGATCATTGTTCTAATAAAATAGTTGAAAATATCATAAAAGTTGGAGCAATAGCACAGTGGGTAGGGCGTTTGCCTTGCACGTGGCCAACCTGGCTGACCCGGGTTTGATTCCTCTGTCCCTCTTGGGAGAGCCCGGCAAGCTACCAAGAGTATCTTAACCATACGGCAAAGCCTGGCAAGCTATATTAGAATATACCTCTGACATATTCAATATGCCAAACACAGTAGCAACAAGTCTATATTAGAATATACCCATGATATATTCAATATGCCAAACACAGTAACAACAAGTCTTATATAATGGAGACGTTACTGGGCCTGCTTGAGCAAATCAATGAACAATGGGAGGACAGTGACAGTGACATTATAAGGCACAGATATTCTAATTTCTTTCCCTGGAGGACCTCAATATCCCCCAGGGTAACATAGAGTAATTCTTCTTTGCTCCTAATACCCATGCCTGTTGATTGTAGTAAGGTGACCTCAATAAACATGGCAAAAATTACTTTGATATCTGAACTATATTTAAAGCACTTCCACTTTTATGGTCATAGTCTCATATCTTATGAAATAGAAAAGTTACCATGAACCTCTTTTATATCAACAATAAAGCAATGGCTCAAAGAGATCAACAGTTTTTATAAACAACCAAATTCAAATCAAGACCAGAGGTTAGGATGTCTGGCTTTAGCATCACCATCTTGCCATCATATTGCATGGTCTAAGACTCATAACCAACTACTAAGTTCTGGGCAGCCCTCCACACCCAGAAAGGTAAGATGATGTGTGAGTTTCTCATAACAGTAGTAGAAGCTTTTGTTCCTCTCCTTTCCCATCTACTTCTGGTGCCTGTACCATCATACCATACTCCAGCTTCAAGAAAGAAAAAAAATCAAATAAAAGGACAGAGATCTGATTTTTAGGCTACTATTCTAGACCTCAATATATGCTCTTCAGCACTGTATTTATAAATGTTCATATATTCTTGCCATAGCAGAGCAGGAAACTCACAAATGGAAAAGATAACATGTTTGCTATGTGAGATTGGTACATTGCCAGAAATTCTGGTGTGGCAGAATTATCTTGAGAAAACAAGACAAATATACTCCTGATCCTATAAGACTCAACACGAAAGAAATTTAAATTTAAAAAAACTGGATTAGCCTGTGACCTTTTATAATTAGTATACAGTTGATTATATATGAGTGCTACACTAATATTCTAACTGCTTTTCCAGGGGAGGTTCTTTGTGGAAGAACCATTCAGACTCTATCTAATTTTCTCTGAGTCAACTCAACTGAGATCCCACAATGTGGACAGGCTAGAAAAGCATACATTATCATAGTTGACCAGTCACCATTAGAATGAATATAAGCATGCTAGTAGACTGGCCAATCATTCTCACTTTCCCAGGACCAACTCAGATTATGAGTGTTTCACTGATGTGATTACTAATGGTGACTTACTCTCCTCTCAGAAATATCCCACTGTGGTAATGTTTGCCTTATATACTAATATTCTTCCTGCTGTGCCTTAATCCTAAAGCCTAAACTGTTAATAACTCAACACAATTATTAGTTGGTTAAGTGTATTCTGTGATCATATTTTATATTTTAAGTTGCCTCTCACCCATTACAAATAGTTAATATTCATATATAATTAAGATTTAGGAGGGATAAGCTTCTAACCATCATAATGTCATATAATTATATAAAATCAAACTATTGCTTAGCCCCTCGTGGTTTACTGTTCTCATATATAAAACCATCTAGAATACACTTTCAGAATTCTCAAACATGATTTAATGATAGTGGAATGCCAGTTGATCGTTACTCTGACAAATAAATTTAAAACTATGGTTTATAAAAAAAGATACTTGATATATGTGTGATATTTGAGGTCATATTTGAAGTGAGCAGTATGAAAAACTGAGGTTTTGTGCTACCTGACTGACACTACAGAAGTTCAGATTTACATAATCTTCTTCTTTTTCTTCTGCAGTTTCTGTTTCTATTCTTGTTCTTCTCTCTTGCCTTTATTCTATGGCCTTGATGTCAAGGTGCCTCTTAAAGGTAAGATTCCATTTAATTCTCAAAACGTGTAAGAATATTTAATAAGAAGGATGCTGCATACAGTTAACATCCAAGTCTTTTTTATTTGAGTTGGTTATCTTGCATACCATAAAAAGGAAAACTGGTTCAAATTTTTTAAGTGATATTATAACAAGAAAACTATGAAGTATAGTAAAAGTCAAGAATTTTTAATAAAATTATAGTAAAGATCAAAATTTCATATTGCATAGGGAAGTCAAATGTCTATGAAAGGGCTGTAATGAATACAGCAGGTAGAATACTTGCCTTGCATATGACCAACTCAGGTTCAATCTCCAGTACTCCATCTGGTCTCCTGGATTACCCTGCCAGGAGTAATCCCTGAGCACAGCCAGGAGTAAGCCTTGAACACCACTAAGTGTTGTTCAAAAATAAAAATTGTTTAGGATATCTGTAGATCTCAGTATGCAAATTGTAGTCACTTCTTACACAAAATATTTGCTTCTCTATCTGTAAAGTGAAGAAATATGACTATATTTTTAGTCTCTCTTCCTACTTGAAATTCTCATTCTGTGAACTCCAATAAGCTTTCAATGTCTGATATGTTTTAACCCTCTCTCCCAAAATCTCTTTATTGGAACTCAGAAAAACAGATAATTAAGTGTGATGACTTTAATCATCAAATAATATTTTTTCATTGTCAACTCCAAAAGACTTCATGGTACTGCATTATTAACTCTATGCCTCATAAATATATGTACAAATTCTCTTAGACAGTGATTTGCAATGCTGAGACCAGGAAGATGGCTCAAAAGTTGAATTATCTGTTTGTATGTGGAGGCTCAGATACAGTCCCTCGCACCTCATGATCTCCCAATACCACTGGGAGATGTCTCTCACCCCTGAAAATATATTCCAGGACTTTAACTCTGAACAGATGCCTGAAGATAGAGATTATATGTCTGGGAAGAGAGATAGAATAAGTGACTGGTATATATTTTTAACAGTATGTTGTTGGATGCTGATGTTTACCCAGGTAAGTAAACCACAGACCTCAGTATCATTGTTTAAAATTGAGAAAGACCAACTCCTCTTCTAAATTCACTTATCGTGTTGATGTCAACTTTGATTATCATCTTATAATAATGTTATATTATACAGGGATCTTTCCTGGACATCAGGTCATATGGCATTTTCTATGGCACTTTATCTACTTTATCAACTGTTAAACTAGATTGACACAGAGGAGCAGAACAGCTTTATCATGGTCTGATACAAGAAAGAAGTTAAGCATATATGCCCAGAAAATTATATACTCATATAATCAGCACTCTGGCTTTATTTCCTTTCCAAAAGATTTTCTAACATTTATCACTGGTCCCATAAGAAAAGATAACACTTCTAAAGAAGAGGATTGAGTTTCTTGCATGAGAATCTATAAAGTAAAATGAATGCAAAATGAGTGAGATTTTCTAGGAATAGGTCAAAATGGTGAAAGCATTCAGCAGACAATTAGTTGTCTCCCCAAAGAGCAACAAAAAAGAGACAGATAGGCAGACAAAGTGGGAGAGAACAGGAAAGGGAGATGAGTCCCACATACTATGCAGAAAGAAAAATCTAGTTTCCTATATAAGTAGTTTTCAACATAATCACTAATGACGAACACATGTACCAGGTGCTCTCCTATGAAATACACATTAATCCTCTCAGCCCCTTATTAAGTCGATGTTGCTGTTAAGTTCATATTTTAAGGTTAGGTCAGCTGGAGCATGTGACTTTTCCCAAGGCCACACAGCTGCAATAGGAACAACTGTACTCAGGCTGCCCCTGTTCAATCCACTTTCTTTTTATTCCTTTCTTTCTTCTTTCTTTCTTTCTTTCTTTCTTTCTTTCTTTCTTTCTTCCTTCCTTCCTTCCTTCTTTCCTTTCTTTCTCTTTCTCTTTCTCTTTCTTTCTTTCTTTCTTTCCTTCCTTCCTTTCTTTCCCTTCCTTCCTTCCTTCCTTCCTTCCTTCCTTCCTTCCTTCCTTCCTTCCTTCTTTCTTTCTTTCTTTCTTTCTTTCTTCACAGGCTCAGATTTATTATCTTATAGTTACATAGTCCTGAAGTATAGGAGGACCTCAATGAGCTCAGCCCATTTCTGACCATCTTATTTCCTCACAACTGGAGTCATTTCTCTCATTCCTAGCGTCCTTTGGGTTATGTATTTTAGTAATCAGAGGTGTCTTATACTTGTGCAGTTCTTCTAAGGTTTTGGATTTTTGAAATTACAATATGCTTCTTTCCCCTTGTTTGTATCTCATCATTTTTTTTCTTCCAAAGCAACACATAATTCACACAGTAATTGTCTATTGAATAAAACACATAGTAATAATAGTGTAACAATTTTATTGTGACAGTGAATCTAGGTGGTATAAAAATACATGTAGGAAAAATGGATCAACAATTCAGAATGTGCTCATTTGAAGTTAAATATACTGTTATGTTTGAGTCATTCCACTTACTATGTCACAGTAGATTTAATCTACCTGATACCAGCTTTCCTAGTCCATAAAATTTCTATAATATTTCCCACAGCATGGTGTTAGGCTGAAGAATTAAATGAAATGGTACATGTAAAGGAATTGCCACAGTAGTTGGCACATAGTTAAATAATTAGCACCTCAGTATAAAAATATTAGATGTCATAATTAAAAAATTTACAAATATTTAAGTTCCAATGTTACCAAGTATTCTTCCACCTAAATCAGTGCAAGTAGTTTTTTCATCCCCAGAAATAATCTTGATTGTAAAAATTCAAGGCAGGGGGCTGGAGTGATAGCACAGTGGATAGGGCATTTGCCTTGCATGTGGCTGACCCGGGTTCTATTCCCAGCATCCCATATTGTCCTGCGAGTACCGCCAGGAGTAATTCCTGAATGCAGAGCCAGGAGTAACCCCTGAGCATCGCCGGGTGTGACCCAAAAAGCAATAAATAAATAAATAAATAAATAAAAATTCAAGGAAGGAGCCAGGGTCATAGGACAGTGGTGGAATACATGTCTGGTATGTGTGAGGGGCTGAGTTTGAGTCCTACCACGACCAAAAAAGTAATACAAGAAAATAAGACATAACTAGAAACTTATATCTGCTACTTATATCTCCAGATCAGACAAGAGAGTGCAGAAAGCAAAAGGAGGAATACCAGACTTTTTAGCAAGTAATAAAAACATACTATTAACAAGATTTTTTCTTACAAATGAATTATTTACATTGTGTTGCTTCTCTTAAACCCATTGATAACCAAAATTATAGAGATAATCATTCTTTAAATGAAGTGACTTGGGGTTCTTTTCATTTAAGAGCTGCATACATAGTTTTAATGTCAATTATCTAGTAAATAATGTTTACCACATTGGGGAAGACCAGCCCTTGGGGGACTAAAGGATCCAGTTGGGGCTATACTAGCCTTAGGTTCAGTTGAAATATAACCAATCTCTACAGTATTTGTTTACAGAGATTCTTGCTCCTTATTCTTGCATATTAGAAGTCTGTAAGTTAAATTATTGTATGCCAATTGCTACTTTATGTGCATGGGCCCATTAGCCTTTAGCCAATCATACTAAAACTGATTCATATGTTTCTCACATATTAGACTATAAATATAACATAGGCTAGATATTATGCCTTGGTTATTTTTATAGCTTCAGAGTCTACAATAGTACTGTATAAATACTAGGTGCTGAATACACTTTAATTTGACAGGTGGAGTGAAGGACAGACATAAGAATGAATACGTAACTCGGGAAATGAACATGAATTCAGATTCATGATGTGTGAGATTGAAGTCATTGATAGTATAGTAATATATTACCAAGACAATCCACCTGATTTGTTCTTTAGGTAATCAGAGAAATAACCTCAAGAGTGAGTAACCATTCCTGAGGAAAAAGCTTGTAAAAGAATGCATGTTTTCCACTTCCATGCATAGAATTCACTAAAAAAAAGTGGGTTAGTGCTTCTAGCTTAAATGAACTTCTTCTTAGCTTCTATAACTACTTTCCATACAACAGCCTTGTAAATTTAGAAAAAATAAATCTAGAATGCCAAGAAAAGCATCATCGTTAGAGTTAAATCTTTGTTCCCTAGTATGGCAACAATCTCTCAGGCTTCCTATTGTTCCTAATCCTCCAGAATCTTCTTAATGCACCACACTTCCTCCTGCCAACCTCAAGGGTTTTCCCAAACCTCAATTTCATTTCTGGTCAAATTTTATATGCATTGTGTTTTAAAATTGCACTCAATGTTAATAGGATGCCTGAGTATAACAAGAACCATATATGATTTCTTCATACTTGTATTCCAAATGCCTACTCATCATCAATAGCACATAGTTGAAATTTCATAACAATGTTTTAAATAGCAGTGATAACATAAGAGATCATCATGTTTTATAGCTTAAAATACAAATTTTATAAATTTATTTTACCTTAAAATGATATCAACCTCATGAAATTATTACTATAATACCGATAACATAGCAGGTAGGGCATTTGCCTTGAACGGGGTCGACCCTGGTTTAACTCCTCCGCCCCTCTCACAAAGCCTGGCAAGCTATCGAGACTATTCTGCCCGCACAGCAAAGCCTGGCAAGCTACCCATGACGTATTCAATATGGCAAAAACAGTAACAAGTCTCACAATGGAGACATTACTGGTGCCCGCTCAAGTGAATCGATGAACAAAGGGAGGACAGTGCTACAGTGCTATCTCTTCAAATATTAATTTTCTAATACAAGAAAATTTTCTAGTCATATTACATATCATTTTTCTCAAGATTTAGCAGTCTATATAATATCTGACATATTAAAATGTTCATTAATACCAAGATCTGAGAATACACAAAAACATCAGTCTTGAATCTTAGACTTTCTTAGATATTCTTCAATTACCTGGGCCATATTTTCCAAAATACTATCAGCAGGTCAATAGCCATTTCTCTTTCCTATCACAGTGTAAAGTAAGAGCTTCAGAGAAGCTTCTCTTCTCCTCAGACTTCAAATTAGTTCTGTTCCATAGTATCTTTCCTTACTAGGGGAAATCTCATTGACTGATTGATTACTCAACAGTCCTCAGTGTCAGAAAATAGAGGTGAAGTTACAGTGACCAATTACAGAATACATTACTATGTAATAAATTATGTAAAACAATTGAAGGACTAAAAGTGCCAGGAAACCCTTAGATTTCCTAGCGAGTAACTTCAATAGTGCCCTTTACCAGAAAAAAATGGAAAGCAGATAAAGAGGTAACCATTAATGATAAAGTTTTGGTAGTCTGTGATGGCTAAATAATAAGCTAGCCACAATGTATCAATCAGTATTTCTACAAATATGTGGTCCATTAGGGATCCAACTCTCCTAATAAAAGAAAAAGTATGAGAATGGTGAACATAAATGGTCTGTTAATCAAGAATCTGTTCTGTCCTCTATGAGTCATTCAGTACTGTAAGCCCTGGGATAATAGAGTCACAAGTCAGAAGTCACATCACTGTACCCAGACTTAGAGACGAGTACATGTAGGAAAGTTAAGAAATCACCCTGGCAATTGCTGTTTTAATGAGGAAAGAGGCTCACCATTGCTTGAAACTTTTTCCAAGAAATCCTTGGCAGTTTGGAAGTATCTAAAGCGCCTTCTGAATCAAAGATAGATTTACAGTCTATCCAATTCTTGTTACAGGATACTAATATTTGCTTCATTGATAATTAATCATCAGTGGTAACTTGTTGGAAAAGCAAAATGATTCAATTATTCAGAATTGCCAATTTGTATAAATTTGGCTTTATTCTATAATCAGAGTTTCTTCTACATATATTCAATTCACAGAAATTTAGCTTTCTGAAAAACTGTCTATCAATCCATTAAAAGTGGAGGGTGCTGTAGAGATAGTATAAAAGTTGAGGCACTTGTATTACATGTGACTGTGGTAGCCTTGACCCTGATTCAAATCCTCAGCACTGCCTTGGGTCAGTTCCTGAGCACAAAACCAGAAATACCCCGTGCAAAATGCTAGGTATGACCCCATTACATCCCCCGTCAAAAAAAAACCTTGTTATACTCAATGGGCTTTTCTTCAGATACAGAGGAGGATCGCAGATCACGGTCCTCTCGTTGTTCATCGATTTGCTCGATGTTACTGTGTTTGGCATATCGAATACGTCACGGGTAGCTTGCCAGGCTTTGCTGTGCGGGCAAGATACTCTCAGTAGCTTACTGGGCTCTCCGAGAGGGGCGGAGGAATCGAACTTGGGTCAGTCATGTTGGCCGCTTGCAAGGCAAACACCCTACTGCTGTGCTATCATTCCAGCCCTCTTCAGATACAAAAGTCAAAAATAATATGTTTGTACTTTGAAATAGAATTTGGGATTTTCTCTGAGACTTTATACATGGAAATTTACAAGCAAAATACAAAACATCATGTTTATGTAAGTATTTTATGTATACATAGATACATTTTGTTTGTTTTTGGGGGGGGAGGGTGTTAAGGCCACACCCTGCAGTGCTCAAGAGCTATTACTAGTTCTGTGCTCATGAGGGACCTCTGGCAGTGCTAGAGAGAACTATGTGGCATCCAGGAATTAAACCAGAGTAGGCCACATGCAAGACAACCACCTTAGCCGCTGTTGTATCTCTCTCATCCCTACACATATACACTTCAAAAACCCACTTTCAGTTCTTGGAAGTCTACAGCTATTTGAGAATTTTACCTTAACTTTTATTTTCTCCCATATCCTACTTTAGCCTCGAGACGGGCACCTCAGTTGAAGTAGCTCATGGTCTAGCACTAAGAAAAGTCTTCTCCTTCCTTCTTTAAGATTCAAGTCTTAAGGCTGGAGCGATAGCACAGCGGGTAGGGCATTTGCCTTGCATGCACATATGACCCAAAAAGGACAAAAAAATAAAATCTTGGGGAGACAGAGAAGAGGGAGGAGAGTAAATATGTCTCTCAACTCCATTGTCATTGGTTGTGGCCCTCTCCTTGGAGACTGGACCATTTCTCTGGTAGTTATTAACTGGCTCTTACTGTGAGTTTTTTTTTTTTGAGTGGTAATGATGAAACAATGCCCATCTAGAGGGACTTGAGTTCTTTCAATGTGCTGCAGAACATCATACCCACTACACCATCATTCCCAAGCTCTTACCTGTCTTACCATCATTGGTGGTGCTACCCAGAGCTTCTGCTTTCTTTTTTGGGGGGGAGGTCCACCTGGTGATGCACAGGAGTTACTCCTAGCTAGCTCTGCACTCAGGAATTATCCCTGATGGTGTTTAGGGGACCATATGGTACGCTGGGAATCGAACCCGTGTCGGCCACATGCAAGGCAAATGCCCTACCCGCTGTGCTATTGCTCCAGCCCCACTCAGAGCTTCTTGCTAGGAAGGAAGCTTCTTCCTCTCTCCCTGCCCTGAAACTCTTCTCTATGAGTAATGAGTGAACTTTTTAAAAATCCAACTTCCCTCTTTATAAGTGCCACCAATCCCCTGTCACTTGGTATTTTCTTTTCATCTCTTCAGTGTACTCACATCCCAACCATGGCCCTTCCTTCTTGTTGGCTCTACTCTGACTGGATCGCTCTTTCATTTTGACATTCATCTAGTCTTTGGGAACATAGTGGCTCTGCATATATGCATTCCAGTTATTTCCGACCTGCACTTATGGTGGGGATGCCTTTGAATCTTTAGTTTGCCTCTCACAATGAACAGAAAGCATTGTAAGGGAGCGACATGCCTCCTTTGCCACAGCTTTAGATATTGGTCACCATTATTGCAACTGCTATGATTTATAGATATTTATAATATAATTTTTATAATATAATATAATTTATAATATAAATTTAATTTATAGATGCAGTAAAAATCTTAGAAAACAGTTTAGAAAAGTTAAGTAACTTATTTTTAGACAAATTTTAGAAAATAAAAATCCCATTTTTTCCTAGCATGCCCAACTCAAAAGACCCAGATGCTTAAATCACACATGACAGACATCATGTCTTCAGTGCGCTATCTGACACTGTTGGCAGAGAGAAAACCCAGGCATAAGAACTTAAAGTGTAGGGGCTGGAGCGATAGCACAGTGGGTAGCGCACTCATCTTGCACACGGCCGACCCAGGTTCAACTCCCAGCATCCCATACATGGTCCTCTGAGCACTTACAGGAGTAATTTCTGAGTGCATGAACCAGGAGTAACCCCTGCGCATTGCCAGGTGTGACCCAATAAAACAAAAAAAAAAAAAAAGAAAAGGAGGAAAAAAATAAACTTACAGAGTCCTGAGTAATGTAGGCCAGGAAGTATCTTTTCAGAAACATGTTTAGGGTCGACCTGGAGACCTCCATGGAATAACTCCCAGGAAATTGAACCAGAACTTTGGGGTGACGATCATTGACAGACAGAACTGCTTTCAAAATGATCTTTAATAGGTACTGGGGGAAAGGAACATAAGGAAAGGGAACTTGAGGATTCAGTTGAACTACTCAAAACATTGCCTTGAAAGGCCCCAGAAGAAAAGACAAGAGAGTTCTGTTTTCTTATTTAAAAGTAACAAAGCTTAGAAGCTTTCCTTTTGGGGGGGTTGTGGGGGACAGTGAGGGGCTCACACCCAGCTTCAGGGCTTTACTCCTGACTCTATGCTTCGAGATCATTCTTGGTGGTGCTCAAAGGACCATGTGGTGCCAGGGTTCGAAGTGATCCAGCTGCATGCAAAGCAAGTGCTGTACTATCTCTCCAGCCCAAGAGACTTTCTATAACTTGAGTAAGGTTATAGACCTCACAGAGTTGGTAAAGGATTTTTTTTTCCTTAAAAAATGTTTTCCTGTTTTGGCTATTGACAGAAATGACAATTTTTTTCCAATTTTCCCTTTGTCTTACAGAGTAATCGAAAACATGGATAAGATCCCAGAAAGACAAATGCTTCTAAAACCTTCAAAGATGGCAAAAATGTTTACACCAGTAAGAGGGAGATCAAAAGCTAAGAACTACTCTGTAGCCAGGACTACAACTGTGCATTTTAAAGCCATTCTTCAAGGTTTCTAACTTGACAGTTCCTACATGACCCTGTTGAGAACTACAATATATGCTGCATTTAATGAAACATGTATATGTCAAACCAGAAGAAAAGAACTATAAACATATTGTGTAAAGAAAAAAATCAACAATGGAACCAGTTTCAGCAGATCAAGCAAAAACGTGTCTTGGGCATGGAACCAAAGTTACAAAAACATTCTACTCCTGCTGTGCAGGGGGGGTCATTTTAATGTAACACCACATCCCATGGAAATACTAGTCCTGAAATAAACATCATTTTAAAAAAATCAAAACAAAGACAAGGGAGGGTGGGGAATGAAGCACGAATACCTATGAGGAGCTATTTACAATAAAATATTTCATTTGAAAAGTCTGGTTTCTTACTACAGGGATTCGCTTTTCTGTCTCTATTATTGTTTTAAACTCAGGAACAGAGACATCTGCAATGTGAACAGGAAGAAAAGCATTTTTTTCCCTGCTAAAGGTGGAGTTTGTGGAATTCAGATGACAGAGGATCGCTATGACCAACTAAACTGGCAACCAAGACAAAGAACACAGAAGAACGTAACATAGAAATAAAAGTGGATTTGATACTTCCTTGGCCTTCTATCACATCTGTGTTCCTCCACAAACAACAGACTAATCTCATTCATATTGAAAATTAAGAAGATTATGCTCTAAATCACAAACTCCCTGTCTTAGTTCTGTTTAGAATGCCAACACCTATAGGGGACACAGGCCAGAGAGCATTTTATGCATCTTTTAATTTCCAGAATACTGGATTTTCAAATGGCTATTTAAAATTGCCTGCAAATAAATACATTATATGATAAAGGCAATAAGTAAACTTCTGCCTATACTTGAGTTTGCCACAGAGTTGTGAATATTAAAGTGTGATTATTTTTTTTAAAGTATCCTGATATACCCAGAACATTCTGACCTCTTGTATACATTTTTCCAGAGAGCTGACAGTAAAAGATTTGCTCTACTTTTTTTAATATATATATGAATAACATTGTGCTACCAATGAGGTCATTTTCTACCAGAGACAATGAGAAGACTAGTACTTTTCCCAAGATAGGTAAAAATAGTCTTGGACTCATAACTGAGTAAATAAATATTCCTGAAAAGATGACTTTACAGTTAATTTACCATAGGTAAGCAAAAGAATCAATTTTCCAAGTTATCAAGGTTTAATTTCTATGGTTAGAATGCCTATGCGTAGAGTGTGTTGGAAACCAGAAACTTCCTTGGAAATCCTTCTGAACATGAGTTTGGTACCATATGCTTAGGTTTTAGCGCTGGTAATTTTAAAGCCAGACCAACAAATGAAGAATGGTGGAAGCTAGAATTCTGGGGCCCCACTTTTGTTCTTAATTTTTGTTACACTTTCCAGGTATCATTGGCCAGTCACTTAACCTCTCTGTGCCTCAGTTTCCTCATCTGCAAAATGAGGTGGAAATGCTTTTTCATAAAGATATGGGGCTTTTCTTTTTGTTTTGGGTTTTTTTTTGTTTGCAATCTCGGAACAAGAGGTGCTTCAAGTAGCACAAAGTGCTTTGTAATGATTATGACTATTATATTATTTGACATTCTTGTTTGTTGAGAAAAAGTCCCCTGTGTAATAAAATAAGTTGGGTTTGGTTAGGTTCAGTCTACACATGGCAGCACTGAAGCTACCCCATCAAACTACTTGGGACATTACTAGCAATAAAGAATGAGATATACAGAGCTAAGATCTGTAACAATCTAGAGCAAATAGATCATCTCATGCTATTAAACAAGATAGAGAAGTGTGTTGTTTCCGTGATAAGCATCTGCAGACTTTCCTGGTTGCATATGCATGACATAATGCGAAGCTCCACTATTGAGAGTGGAGAGCCAGCATAAAATTTGAGCTTGAAGTCAACCAATAGAATCACATAAATAGCCTGGTTATCCCTTTCATTTGAAAGGAAGGTATAATGATATGTCCTCCTGAGAAAGTACCAAAAAAAAAATCTTGCACTAAATTCTTTGCTCAAAAAAGTTTCCAGATTAAATATGAATAGCAGATTAATTGTACATATAACATAAAAGTGTGTGTCACTGCAATTCTAAACTCTTATAAATTGGAAAATATTGGTCAATAGGAAGAAGAGGAAGTACTACTGTCCCATATCTTAGAATTTTCTCTTCTGTTGCTTTTCATTGGCCATGCCTGAGTCCACCTGAGCAAATTCATGCTCTGTCTGCTTCAAACATACTTTCTTGCTGTTTATCTTGTTTTCCCATGTAGGAATTTACAGGTTAAATTCATACGCAATCACTAGTTATGACTTAAATGATTATAAATATTTTGAAAGCTGCTGTAACTGATACCTTAAACATATGAATCATAAATATTTTATGCTACAGGTATGATTGTAGCATACTTACAATATTACATGAGGATTAATATATCCTAAGCAGCTCCCATTGTAATTTTAAAGTGTATTTAGAACAATTGCAAAAGGAGGGCTCAATATCCAGCAAATTAGCAAATTTCTCTAGATTTTAAGATAAAGGGTATTATATTTTTTAAAAGCCTCCCTCATGAACTTCAAAATTAGAATAAAATTAGATAGTTTAATAATTCTATAGATATATATTATTTATTTCCACAATTGTTAAAAAAAACAGCTTGCAAAAACAAAAGTATGTCCGTGTTTCAGTCAAACATGGATCTATGGAAATAAAACATATCTAAATGAGAACTTTCATTGTATATGATCTTCAGCAATAGTGAAGATATCTGAATAATCACAGTAAGTGAGATCTGATTTATCATATGGCTCCACTTCTTAGAAAAGATGAGACGCAAAACTAAAGATGAGTATGGAGCATTACTATCCGGACACATCTGGCCAGAGTTAATAGGAATCAAAGCAGCATTCCTCAGGATATACTTGCTGAATTTCTTCAACATAATATTCATCTATTGAAAAATAACATAACAAATACTTTAAAAAATAGTTTGAAGTCAAATGATATCCTTGATTTAGCTATTTAGTTATTGAGAACAGAAAATTCTACATGAGAAAAGTAAATATAGGCTATATTTATGTGGCCCTTATACCAGAAAACATCACTAATTTGACTTTTTAATGCCACCCAAGTTTGGGGAACATTCGAAACTTCTGGAAATCAGTTTCAAATCCCTTTAAACCTATGTCATATGGATAATTGTCAATAGTGAAGATTTAGAAATAGAAGATAAATTTTGCTTTTTTTTTTTTGTCCACAAACAACAGCTTTCATAGATGCCCCGGGTCATCAATAGACTAGAAAGAATGCAAAGAGTTCATGAATCATCACTGACATAGAAATAAAGTTTTACTGAGTAATTTTTTCTATAGTATTTGATTTCAACTTACTTTGTTTTCAGTTTAAAATAAATCTGACAAAATTGCTTCTTTTTGCTCATTTGTTGTCAGTTTTTTCCTGTAAATTCAACGTGTAATTCTTAAGTTCACTGCTTCAATGTATTTCATAATTTTATTGTTTAAGATAAAGTCTATGTTTCCATGGATATTGTAAAGATAATATTCATCAGTTTATGTTGATGACTAAATGATCAGATTGTGTATTTTATGTCAGAACTCGGTGACAACAACTGGAGACTTTAAAATATTGGATTTTCCTATCCAGAGTAATGCAGAATATATATAGATATATGTGTGTGAATTCACATATATGTGACTATATATATGAATATATAGTCATACATATTTTCATATATGTATGTGGGGAAGAATCTATGTTTGCAAGCTGAATTGTTTTTTTGCCCTTTTACCCTTTGTGAAACTTTCATAACAGAACACTGAGAATTTTTTCACAGCATTTTGCAGGTTTATTTACAGCGGGTAGGGCGTTCGCCTTACACGCGGCCAACATGGCCGACCCGAGTTCGATTCCTCCGTCCCTCTCGGAGAGCCCGGCAAGCTACCGAGAGTATTCGATATGCCAGACACAGTAACAACAAGTCTCCAATGGAGACGTTATTGGGCCCGCTCGAGCAAATCGAAGATCAATGGGAGGGCCTTTATCTTTATCTTATCTTTTATTTAATTCTATCACTTTAGTAAATTAGGTGCACCTTTATATTTTAAAAGTTTAAAATAGCTTTTAAGAGATTAGTACTCAAATCAAATCATGAATTATTGATTCCAGAATGTTCCAAGCCTCTCTTCAATAGGATGTCTACTTTCCCACGGGAAAAAGGAATGAAAGCTTCTGTTCTGTTCAATTGACCTAGTTTCTATGCTCTTGAGACTGAATTCCAGGTATATATTTTTCAGGCAACAAAATTCAGTCATGATAGAAGGTTGGAGCTGATTATTAAAAAGTCTCTTCTGATGCCAAACTGATTGCATTTCAGTATTGGACAGACAGAGTCCTTTGCTGCATTTAGTTTGCCAGTTTTGTTCTTTCTGAATAAATCTGTTGTTGAGAGTGCAAATCCAATTTTAATCAAAACCACTAAAGATATACTTCAAGGGCAACATGTAAAAATAGATCACAATTTTCTATATCCATGAAATTCAGAGGTGCAGGTTGTTGATGGGGTGAGAACTCTGTTTTTTTATTTACATATTTTGCATTGAAGTCTTTGTGTCATACTTATATTTGCATCTGTTGCATCCAAGTTTTCTATAGGGTGTGAGTAGTGTAGATAAACAATGCTGAGTCCACCTTTGCCTTTAACCAAGACTCCACGAACTTGTGAAAATGTGGGTAAGGTGTCTAAAAGCAGATCCCCGGTATCCATGGATAATCACTAATATATGATTGACAGATCACAAAATGTGCCTATTGACCCCTACTAATCATAACTTCCCACAATGAGGCAGTTCAAAATTCACTTTTATAAGTGTGTGATGTACATATGTACACTTATGTATTCTGTATATAGTATAATGTGAGCACTTACTAAATGTGTACTCTGTCCAAGGATTGAGGTCTTATGAGATTTTTCTGATGCTGCTGAGTAACTCACGCTTCTGTTTATCACCTGGTCTCTGTGCTCTCCTCCTTGCCTGATGACTTTTCTCCCACCTCTGTTCAAACTACTATTTTCTATTGTTGATCAAGATTGGTTTTCCAGTTATGCAGATCCAGTCAAGGAGTGATGCCACTGGCTTTTTGGAAAAAGCAACAGAAAGTTCAGCACAATCTACAGTGTTAATATTAGCCAAAAATGCCATATTTTTGTCAGCTAACATTCCCATTCCAGGGAGAGTTTGCACTTGCTTTACTTTCAAGATGCAATTCTGCCCGGATTCATACATCGAGTCAATGGGTTTGAATATGCTGTACCCCCAGTGTCTACTAGATTGTTGTAGCCAGGGGGCAATTTCTCAGAGCTTTTCTCCAATCATTTGCCTCAGTTAGGGTTCCTTCTCTCCATCTCATTAGCATGACTCCATATCCTGCTTCAGTGCTTGTTTATTAATGAAAGAAAAATATGAATTGGATGAATTTCACCAGAATTATCCTCTGAAGTACACGGAACATGTACATGTACTGTAGGTATTACCCGTAGAAATGTAATCAACTTAATGTACGTAAAGTTTTATGAATGGTTATTTTATAATTTATGTATTTAATATAGGAATCAACAAACCCTGGTGTTTTAGTTTATATAAAAATAAAAAAGCTGCATTTTTTTAAACTTTATCTTGCATTGTTCATAGGGGTGTTCTTATTTTTTGACTCTTAACTACTTTGGAACAACAGGATGAGCTAGATCCGGACTAAAAGTGCATCATCAGGAAATGAACTCTACCTCAAATACAGTAAATAGATTACTCTCTGTCTACTGAATTTTTTATTGTGCCTTCCAGGAGCACTGTAGTTCAGAGTCAAGACAGAATTTACACTGATGGGGAGAGAAGTGTCCTGGAATAATTGGCAGGACTGTGCTAAGCTTAGTTTGGGAGAGAATCTTGCCAGCTGCTCATCATCTTTATACACTGCTTCTCTTCCTTTACCCACCTATCTTATTTATCTGCTATGGCAAGCCACTAGATAATAAGCTAGCTGTGTGCTACGGAAGTATCCATAGAATAAGCATCCTGTGGCATGTGGAGTGTATGTGTAGTGCCAGAGAGCTTACAGTCCATTGTAGGGAAACATCTCATGTGTTGATGAAACAAAGAAGCAGTATGGTACAATATGAGGTACAGTTTGCTAGAACACTATTAAGAAGTATTGAAAGTAAGTCCAATTTTAAATTCCAGCTCAAGAAATATCCATTTAAGCTTTTTTCCTTCAATTGTAGTGCATCTTTACTGGTAAAAAGTGACACTCATTTGTTCATTGCAATATTCCATCCATTCACAGGAGCTACCTATGAGATATCTGGTATGTTTAGAATAAAAAGAATGGCATATCCCTGGCCCTGAAGATACCATAAAATACATTATTTTTATGATTTGTGACCAACTGGATCTTCATGAAAAAGATACCATATGGGGAATTAGTAAATCGGGTAAAGTGTGAAGTGGTGGGCTTAGGCCCAGGTTTGCACCTGAGCTCCAGATTGCCCCCCACGTACTGCTGAAAATGACCTTTTGAGCACTAAGGTGGATGTGACCCCAAAATAAAAATATTTTTTAAGATAGTCAATTATATGGGAAAAGGCAGGGGTGAACATAATGTAGTATATGCACGGGTTGATTTTTAATGATACACACCTGAAATCTGTATAATAGAATGCAATATTACTTCAATTAAAATTTGTTGATAAATAAGAAAGACAGAACAGCAGGCAAAGAACTTGTCTTGCAAGTAGCTG